CCATTCATCTATTGAAGGGCATCTAGGTTGCTTCCACAATTTAGTTACTGTGAATTGAGCTACTATAAACATTGATGTGGCTGCATTACTATAATATACTGATTTTAAGTCCTTTGGGTACAGACTGAGGAGTGGGATAGCTGAGTCAAATGGTGGTTCCATTCCAAGTTTTCTAAGGAATCTCCATACTGCTTTCCAGAGTGGTTGCACCAATTTGTAGTCCCACCAGCAAAGTATGAGTGTGCCATTTTCCCTGACATCCTCACCAACACCTATTGTTTATATTCTTGATAGCTGCCATTCTGACTGGTGTGATATGAAATCTTAGAGTAGTTTTTGATTTGCATTTCTCTAATTGCTAGAGATGTTGAACATTTTTTCATATACTCGTTGATTGAATGTATATTTTATTCTGAGAAGTGTCTGTTCAGCTCCTTGGCCCATTTACTGATTGGGTTGTTTGTTTGTTCATTTGGTGTTAAGTTTTTTGAGTTCTTTATATATCCTGGAGATTAATGCTCCATCTTACGTGCGTGTGGCAAAAATTTGATCTCAAAGTATAGATTCTCTGTTCACCTCACTGATTGCTTCTTTTGCTGAGAAGAATCTTTTTAGTTTGAGTCCATCCCATTTATTAATTATTGATTTTATTTCTTGCACTTTAGGAGTCTTGTTAAGGAAGTCAGGGCCAAATCCAATGTGATGAAGATTTGGGCCTACTTTTTCCTCTATTAGGCCCAGGGTTTCTGGGCTAATCCCTGGGTCCTTGATCCACTTTGACTTGAGTTTTGTGCATGGTGAGAGATAGATAGGGATTTATTTTAATTTTGCTACATATGGATTTTCAGTTCTCCCAGCACCATTTTTTGAAGAGGCTATCTTTTCTCCAATGTGTGTTTTTGGTGCCTTTGTTCAGCATGAGATAACTGCATTTTTGTGGGTTTGTTTCTGTGTCTTCTATTCTGTACCATTGGTCTACATGTCTATTTTGGTGCCAATACCATGCCATTTTGTTACTATAGCTTTGTAGTATAGTTTAAGATCTGGTATTGTGAGGCCTCCTGTTTCACTCTTCTTGCTAAGGATTGCTTTGGCTATTCTGGGTCTCTTATTTTTCCAAATGAATTTCATGACTGTTTTATTCCCCACTCTTTGCCATCCACTCATGCTTTCTTTCCTTCTTAAAATATTTGGGCAACTACTATGTTCCAGAAACTGCTGTAGAAGTTAAAGAGAAGGTAGTTAGCAAATTAGTGAGAATCTCATAGTCTCATAATTAGTGAGTGCCTTCTCATAGTTCACATGCTACGAAGGAAGGTAGGGTGCGTGCAAGTGAACAAATCCATGAGCAAGAAGCTGTGGTCAAGAGTGTGAGGAAGGCAGGGTGACAGCCAGAATCCTTAACCAGAGATATAGCGCAGCCTCCATCAGTCTCAGCTGAACAAAGCACTGCTTGGAGGAAGAATCACGGACACCCTCCTGTGCTGGGCCATGACCTCATAGTTGTTAGATTATGGTGAAGTGATGGGGGTTCCCCAGCGGACAGAATGGTCTGTGTTATGAGATACCTTTGGGGGGCCAGAGGAAGTGGCTATTTACCAACAGTATTGAAACATCTCACTAAGCTAATAATTAGTAACGGTGTCAGTGGCAATCATTCAGTTGCATGTTAGTCGGCTTTGTGTGATTATGACTAAAAGATGTGACAAGAACAACGTAGAGGAGGAAATGATTATTTTGGTTCTGGCTTTTCAAGCTTCATTCAGTCCATGGTTGGCCAACTGCATAACTCTGAGCCTCGGATGAGGCCGAACATCATGGCAGAAGGACATGGTAGAGAAAAACAGCTAGGACAAGGCACCAGAAAGGAGAGAGAGAGGGAGAGCGAGAGAGAGAGAGCGCTCTGCTCACTAGGGATAAAATATAAGCCCCAAAGTCATATCCCCAGTGACCTACTTCCTCCAGCCATACCCTACCTGCCTACAGTTACCACCCAGTAAATCCATATCAATGGATTAACCCACTGACTCGGTTATACCTCTCATAATTGAATCATTTCACATCTGAAAATTCTTGAATTGTTTCACAAATAAGCTTTGGGAGGATACTTCATTTCTAAACCATAACAGGTTGATACCAGCACTGGAGGTTTAATGGCTGTGGATGGGGACAAGAGGCAGGGGCAAACTACTATAGATGATGATGTTGGGAACAGCCTCTCAGAAGAAGTGATATCAAGCTAAAATCTGAATGACAAGGAAAAGAAACGCGAGGAACAGTTTGTCCAGGAGCAAGCAAGGGAACAAACTGACCAAAGAACAGTAATGGTGAAGACAGTAGAGTGTGATAAGTTTGGCATCTGTACAGAGTGGCAAAAAAGGCTGATGTTGCTGCGATATTATGCAGGGAATGATAGTAAATTAGGTCAGATGGTTAAGTACAGGCCAGATCTCATGGGGCCTCTTAGGCCACAATAAGAAAGTAAAATGAGAAGCCATGGGAGGGAGGATTTTAAGCAGGAAAATGATATAATCTGATTTACATTTTAAACAGATTACTTGGGCTGCAGCGGGAATGAATTGGGGGATTAGGGAGAGAACAGTGTAGGGGTTGTTCGAGCCTAGAGGTGATGTTCAGGCCTGACCCACAATGATGGTAGTGCAAAAGGAGAGAAATGGGCTGAATCAGGATTTTTTGGTTGTTGAGGTGGTTTTGAAGCTATGTGCACACATTCTTCCATGAGCATTTCCTCAAGAGGTGCAGCTTCGTTCCTCTCCCTTTGAATGTGGCCTGGAGTTAGGAGTTACTTCTAGCAAATAAAATATGGCAGAAGGTAGGAGACGTCAGTTCTAAGATAGGTTATTACTAGAGTGTGGCTTCCATTTGGGGGCATGCTCTTTCATTCCATCCTCACTCTAGGGAAAGTCAGCTGCCTCCATCTGCTGCAGCTCTGTGGAGAGATTCATGTGGCAGAGGGCTGAAGCCTGACAAGGGAGTGAGCTTGGAAGTGGATCTTACCTCCTCCACTCTATCCCAGTTGAATGCTCAGAAGAGACAGCTTGGCTATCAACCTCTGTGTGACCTTCAAGGATTTCTACACTACACTTGGATTCTGGATCCACAGAAACTCTGAACTAATTAATGTTATTGTTTTTAATGGCTAGATTATACAGCAATAGATAATAGGGAGTAATCTATGGGACTGGCTGATATATTACGTGCAAACAGGGTGTGAGAGAAAAGAAGGAATGAAAGAAGATGTGTAGATTTGTGGCTTGAGCAACTGGTAGTGGTACAATTCACTGAAGTGTAGAGAACTTGAGAAACAACACATGGAGGAGAGGGATCAAAGTTCTTTAGAAACATTCTGAAGAGACTATTAGACATCCCAGTAGGAATGTCCGTCAGATAGCCTGCTGAGCCCTGACCTAACTCCTTAATCATTGTTTATGAGCATAAGTAAATAATGGTTTGGAGAATATCTCCACTCTTCTTTCTCTCTTTAATCCATTCTAAACTGGCTTGTGTTCCTTTGTCTCAACTACAGAATTTGCTAAAATCAAACCACCCATTGCAGCCATGTTGTCATTCATAATCCAGCAGTTTCCTCTCTGTCTTGATCATATTCAACTCATAAACACATTGGACAAGGATTACCACTTCGTTTTTTCAAGTACTTTCCTCTCTCGGATTCTGTGATCCTATTCTCTCTCAGGTAGACTCTTCTGCTCTACACAATGTGGACTAGGGTTCCTCAGTGGTACACAGTTCCTATGTCATAGGTCTGCTTCCCTGGCAGAGATGGCTAGGAGTTCGACCTTAGCTAGCCATTTCCTCCCTCCATGAATTCACGGCCTTTGCATGGATGCTGTGGTGGTCAGATGTATTACACAGAAGCTCAAAGTTTAAGATAAAGTATGCTAGGTGGGGGCGGAGAGACAGAGCAATAGCTAGAATGTCAGGTTAAAAAGGACTTTCCTGGACATCTATGGGTGATAACTCAAGCATATTAGCAACTGATGGGAATATTACAGAAAAGTGGAAGAGATGGATATTACAAAAGAGAAGTGTGACTGGGATCCAAAGAGAAGAAAAGGGATCCAGAAAAAGGGAGGGCTGGCATTTAGTGAAGTAAGAGACACTCCTTCACAGTGCAAGATTGGCAGGAGTACCCAGAGGCACTCCCATGGATTAGTTCAGTCCTCTTTGCTCACTTCTCTTATCAGTGAGGCCCTTCTTAACTTGCCCTTCTTAAATGACACCTTTAGTACTCCCACTCTACCTTCCCTGCTTATTTTTGTCCATAGTGTATGTTTGTGTGTAGAATAAAAATATGCATTGCCCCTAGCGTTATCTACACCATTGCGTTGTGTTTTGCTGTTGTTTTTGTGGTCAATAGAATATAATCTTGATGGAGACATTTGTCGTGTCTTTTAGCATCTAGAGCAGTGTGTGGAACACAGCAGATACTCAGTAAATGTCAACGGAGTGAGGGAATGAATGGATAGGGGAAGAGTGTGCCTAAGCGATCTCTAAAGTCAGAGGGGTACTGAGAGAATGAGATGCTTGAAACCCAGATGTTGGAAAGTGACACAGGTGGTTGGTGAGAACAGAATTAGAATTAGGTCTTAGGAACTCCAACCGCAGTCCCTCCTCCCGTTTTTGCCTGTGGCCATGATCAAGTTACAGAACCTCTTTGAGCCACAAGTATTAGCACCTTTTGAATAAGAATTGAGTGCTCCGAAAGGCCTGGCTCTTCTTTTCCACGCCGATTTTCTCTAACTTGCTTGATTTCGGTTTCTTGATCTATTCCCGGTCTTTTCTCCATAAAGTCTGAGGAAACAGGAGGGTCCTGGGTCTAAGGACACAACTCCTGGCTGCAGGCGCTGAGCATGAGTCCAGCTGCGGTTGCCCAGCAAGCGATGGGATGGGGCGGGACCGGGCGGGGCGGGGCGGGGCGGGGCGCGACCGGCCAATCCCGGGCCTGTCCGAACCTGGCTCGGTCCGTGCATAAGTCCATCTGTCCGTTAGTCTGTCCAGAGCCATGGCGAAGCTGACGGTGCTCACCCTCATGGGGCTGGGACTGGCGCTTTTCAGAGATCACCGGTCTTCTTACGAGTAAGTTGGGTCGTGGTGAGGGCTGCAACCCTTGTCCCTCCCCTAAACCCCAGTGTAGTAACACCCCCATTCCCAAAGTAGGGTCCAGGCTCTTAACAGAAAATACAGACCTGGGATGGATACATGTCCTATAGAGGTTTCATCAATGTTTGTCCAGCTATCATGTGCCACTTGTAAACATACCCTTGCTCATGGTCTGAGAGATGGGACAAGTCATTGGCAGTGGTGAGTGGGTCAAGTTGTCAGTGTCATGAAGATCTGCGTGCTTTGGCTACAGATTGACTTCTCAACCTGGCTTTTTAAAAAAGGGTGGAGGGGGATAAGGGTTGGTGTTTCATGAATTAGGGAAAGGACACCCCCCCCGTGGTGGCTGCCTGGTCACAGCACAAAGCTTCTGGCCACGGAGAATCTCAATTGGAAGCCACGTGGAGGGGGACAATCTGCACGCGGACCTAGGTAGGTAGGAGCAGATGCTCCCTGAAGTGGTCCACCTGCTCCAGTGGGTGCCAGGCAGGGAGGAGAGAACCATGATGCTGCAATTGATGTCCTAGGTTCTAGCTCTTCCCTCTGAATATGAGAACTTGAACAAATCACTTCACATCTCTAAATCTCAGCTGCTTCAATAAATTGAAATTGTTAATACACACTCCTATAGGAAGCAACTAACACTGAGCTTGGGACATAGTAGCTATTCAATAAATGTGAGTTCCCTGCTTCTCTTTATTTAATAAGGCATTAAGGTGCTATGGAGGATGGTAAATTTTTGCAGGTGTTCAAAGTTTACAGATCATCCTACTCTCAGAGGCTTAGTCAAATAAGTCTTATTTACTCTGAAGTAAAACATTAATATAATGGAATCTTTTGGATTTTTAAAATATCTTATCACCTTACAGACTAATACATAGAAGCTTACATTCAGAATAGGTTTTTATGAATTATTGTGGAATTTTCTTCTAATTACTGCTATTTTTGAAATCACAAAATATTAGAAAAGTATTTGAAAAAAGTGTAATTAGTAGTTCAGGCTTTTAGATGATGTAAAAATTAGCATGTGAATTTTCATTGATCACGGTACTGTTTGCTGCCAATGGGTTTATGCAGAGAGATATAGAGTGGGTACCGAGCTTCCTGGAGTAGTCCAGTCAGGGGAAAAAAGGAGACTGCACTTCTCTCCAGATGGTCCTAAAGCCTTGCTACTCAGAAGGGTCTATGGGCTAGCTGCATGGGTGGTAACTAGGAGTTCCTGAATGTGCAGAATCTCAGTGCCCTCTTCCCTTATACTATTGAATCTGATCAGCGTTACTTAACAAACTCCCAGGAGATTTTTATGCACTTCTCTTCATATTTTGTCACTGTCCATGCTAGAACCAGAGCAAGAGATCCTGGATAATCAATAAATGACCTTTATCCTCATTTTAGAGATAAGGTACCTGAGTCTCCAGAAAAATCATGAATCTGCCCAACATAGAAAATGGAAGCAATGATATCCTGAAGCCTTCATCAGGAGCAAGCCAAACTCTCAGAAAGGCACAACCTTTAAAATTCAGAGATGGCTATATGTTTGTGTGTGTTGGGGAGCGGGAGGGACTCACAAGAAATTATACAGGGGGAAACTTGTGGAAGCATACAAGGGATGCCTGCAGGGATTTCTTGAGCTTCTGAGGTGGGAGCTCTCAGAAGAAGAAACTGAGAATGCTCCTCTGGGGCACGAATCCCTAACCCGTCATTGTAGTCAGCTGCATATAACTTTGAGAGGTACATACTGCACAAGCCCAGGAAATGCCTAGGACAAGACAGAAATAGTACCCCTGGTGTGCAGGTCCTGGAGGCACTCATTCCTAAATGATTCATCATGATGCATGAATCCACTGTTTCCTTTATTTAGAAGGAATCCACAAAGCTAGCATGAATCTTTCAATGCATTTCTGCCACTCAGGCTTGTTCCAGGCAACACACTGTGTGGATAGAGGTGGTGACCCTGAGTCAGATCTCCTTTCTCCAACTTTCAAGCCACTTTACCACTTTACACCAAGAAAATTTGAGCCTTTTTCTTCACCTGAAAATTATGGAATAATAACCCACATTGCAGTAGCATATATATAAAATCTGCTGCTTAATAAGTGCCCTATAGGGTCTGGAGTTGCGGCTCAGAGGTAGAGTGCTTGCCTAGCATATGTGAGTCACTGGGTTTGATCCTCGGCACCACATAAAAATAAAATAAAGGTATTGTGTCCACTTATAACTAAACAAATATTTTTAAAAATAAGTGCCCTATAATTGTTAGCTTTTATACTTGTCATATATGATTTCAAAAATTCACTTAGGAAATCCAATGAATGATACCTGAATATTACCTTACCTCATTGAAACCCTAGGCTAAGGATAAATAACCTACCGAACCCTCCAGTCTCCCCTATCAATGCATCCACAGCATTTTCTCCATCTGATGTTATAGCCTAGCAATGCCACAAAACAATTCAGTGGACATCTGCCAACCCCTCCCACTTGCAAAGTGCTGCATTGTGCTGGAAGTCATAGAAATCAATATGATAAAGCATTTGCTCACTGATTTCAGAGTGGATGGGGAGCAACAAGACCAGAAACTGATAACTGTAAAGCAACAGGGCGAGAGACTTGAGAGATATGAAGGTGAAGGTTCATGAGCATAAACTTAGTAGTTACTAATCCTGTCATAGAAGAAGCTGTAGAAAGTTATGAGGATCCTGGGTGTCCCCATAGATAAGGAAGTAAAGGGCCTCCTTGGATGGAGGGAAAAGAGTGAGCAAATGAAAAGGGGTATGAAAGGGATATAGGGAACAGAGTCCTAGGTATCATGTCACCTAATTCCAAATCCCAACTCTGCTCTTTTAAGCAAAGCAATGACATGTAAATGACTTAGCTTCTCTGTACCTCAGTTTTCTTACCTATAAAACAAGGAAAACACAAATCTTTGTCTCAAACGTGGCTAAGGAGATTAAATGAGGAAGTATGTGTGTGAGAGCTCTTAGCACAGGGCTTGGTGCATAGTAGGTCTTAAAATGGAATTATTGAATGAACAGAGAGTGTGCCGTGAAGCTACAGAAAATTGACAGCTAAGGGTGACTGGCCTGAGTTCCAGATTGGGTTTCTTAATGCACAAGGAAAACTCCTGCTTTCTTTGGCTGGAAGCCAGGGTATATTTGCACTGAATAGTTCACAGTAAAGGTTGTGTGCTTTCTAGACAGAGTTCAGAGGCTTGTGAATCAAGGACATATCTCAGTATTGAACTTTATCTCTTTGACCTGGAACATTTGGACTTAATCAAGATATTTCCTGATAATTTGAGAAAAAGATAGAACAACATGAGTTAAATTACAGTGACACAGGCCAAATGAAGCTCAACAGGCTTCTTCCAGCTGTTTACTATTGTTATTTGTAAATTTTGCCTTGTTAGGGGGTTGAGTGTAGATTTGCATTTGTACTTGCATTCCAATCCCAGTTTAGACATTCCATAACTATATGGTATTGGAAAGCCACTGATGTTAGTCATCTGTAACCCAGGAAAACAACCCCTTAGGGAGGTGTTTGCAGGTTGAATGAGGGTATGCACAGCACCTGAACTATGGTGTCAGTGATATCCTGTTGTGATATGACTCGTTTGGGCCACAAATTGGAGCCCAAGGCAACTGGGAACAGGTTTAACACCTCCTTGCCTACTGTGGGCTCCTGCTAACTGTGATTATTGCTATTTCCAAGCTAGAGAGCATCTGCGGGGTGGGGGAGGGAAGCCTGAATTAGAAAAATAGCTGAACAGGTCTACCTTTCTCCATACTCAGTGAACCAATCACAGTTAACAAACCTTGTGAACCAGGCAGCCTGCTTATTCCTTCCTATGTGGTTTTAAGTCTTTTTTTTTTTTAAGTTAATTTGGCTATCTTGGGCTTTTTTCACAAGTTTTGGCCTATTCAACAAATTCATATCCTTGGATCCCTCCTCCTATGTCACTCTCTGTGTTGTCCTTGGATATGACTTTCACCCTTAACCTCTTGAACCCTACCATCATCATTGGGGTTCCTTGGCGGCACTCCATGAATATTCATTATGTTTCCCCCAGACTAGTGTCTTTCATAGTGACAGCTCTCAAAATCAGTGTAGTAGATCATGATCAACATTTTTAAATAAATGAAGTAGATTTGAGTAGAAAAGTTAAGAATGCATACATAGATTAGGGTAAGTATCATTTTGAGATACTTGGTTTAGGGGTGTGTGTTTGTGTGTGTGTGTATATGTGTGTGTGTGTGTGTGTGTGAGCATGCGCACACATGCATGTTTGTATCATGTAAAATGCTTTTCTTAATACAATTCTAAATCTGCAAAGTTTGTGAGCCCCTACTCTATTATAAATTTTAACTTTCCCTTTATTGCAAACTTTTGTGATTATGACATGGGATTTCTGGGTTTTGTTTATTTATTTATTTTTTAAAGACTGGGTCTTGCTATGTTGCCTAGGCTGGACTCAAACTTCTGGCTCAAGTGATCCACCCACTTCAGCCTTCAAGTAGCTGGGACTGCAGGCAAGCTCCACTGTGACCAGTTCTGATTTCCTTTTTAAAAATATCTTCTAGTTTCCTAGGTCATAGGGCAGATCCCAACTTCTCTTTGAAGTCTGTTTTCTAATTTCATGTCTATCGCTCAGGGAGCCACAGTCTCTTAGCAGGCCAAACTATCTCTCCTATTTGTTCATCTCTGTATCTCTAGCACCTGGCCTACTGGTTCTCTACCAATTGTGCATCCAAAGAACTGTGGTGGGCTGGGGATGTGGCTCAAGTGGTAGCGCACTCGCCTGGCATGCGTGCGTCCCGGGTTCGATCCTCAGCACCACATACAAACAAAGATGTTGTGTCATACAAAGGTGTTGTGTCCGCTGATAACTAATAAAATTAAATAAATATTTTAAAAAAAGAACTGTGGTGCTTTTACAAAGTGGATTTATGGGCTCCCTTCCTAGCCTATTAGGCCAGACAATCTTAGCAGGTGGGTAGAGTTGATAGTCAATGGCATGATAATAGGAACATCTAAAAATTTTTTCTTAATGAACAAATGAAAGATCAATTGCCCTCAAATTCTTACATTCTGTATTATGTTGATAAGAATTTTACCCAAAGTGTCTGGTCACCTCCAGCCCATCACCCTGTGAGACTGTGACTATATGATATCATTTGTTCATATATATATATATATATATATATATATATATATATATATATATATCTTGGCTGTGCTAATGTCATGGTCCAATTTTTTCAAATGTCTCATTCATATCTTTGCTATGTGTAGGCAGGCTGCTGGTGCTTTGTTCTAGCATCTGTTCATGTTTCCTTTGTCCTTCATTCAAATATTCCCCTATGATTTTTATGTGCTTGTATTTAATAAGTTGTTTGTGTGTAAATGTGTGCATTTTCATACATGCAGGCCTGTGTGTGTGTGTGTGTGTGTGTGTGTGAGAGAGAGAGAGAGAGAGAGAGAGAGAGAGAGAGAGAGAGAGAGAAATGCTTTTTTATAGGCTGGACTTGGGTATGATTTTATGAAGTGACAAAGCCTTTAGATACACCTACATTTTTCAAGTATTAGTCTGAAAGCAGATGCACAGTCCAAGCTGTGAAACCAGGCTGGGCAAATGGATAGGAAACCTGTCAATTGTTCTAAAATATCATGGGTGAAATTGGAACCATGTTGCCATTTGACCCTAACTATCCACCTTGTATTTCTTACACAATTAAAATAGTTCCTGTTCCTACAAAAGTGCATGGAGCAGACACTATATATCCCCTTTGTATATCTGTCCATCTCTGCACATAGGAGCCCTTACCCAACTAAATGTTGTATCCCATGCTCCCCACTGCTCTGACCTTGCATGGTAGAATTATGGGTGTTGGGGACCGCTGACTCTGGGATTGCCTCCAAGACGAAGAGCAGTTAAGAACTTTGTGGACTGCAGTTTAATTCTGAGAGTTTCATCTGTTCATTCCTTTCTCCCTCCTAGAGAACGACTTAATGCTTTCCGTGAAGTGAAACCTGTGGAACTTCCCAACTGTAATTTTGTTAAAGGAGTCGGTATGTATGTGAGAATAGAAGGTGTCTCATTTGAACTGCTAGTATATCATCTTGCTATTTATTTTGTCCGTATGCCTGTTTAATTTTGTTCAAAAAAACATTGTTGACCCAGGAGATTTTTATTAAGTCAGTAGTTAATTACGGAATACCATGTCTTTTGACTTTTGTCTTCCCCAACATATTGCCAATGTGTTGGCCGTTTTGATTGTTTGTTTTTGTTTGGTCAATAGAGCAGAAACAATAGTCAGAGCCATGTATGATTTCATGGTAATATAACCTGAGGAGAAAACAAAAGAAGGAAAGAAGAGGAAGACAAAGTGAGTAGAGAATGTATATATATATATTTTTAAGCTCTCACAGGCCTTGGTAATTACCATGAGGCTTTTCTCCTCATGTATCTCTTTTAAAGTTGGAAAGGAAAATTTCCCCAGAACCTCTCAGCAGATTTCCCCTTAGATCTCATTAGTCAGAGCTGAAGGACAGGCTGGGGCCCTAGCTGCAAAGGAAGCTGGGAAAGCAATTATTGGCCTCCATTGTGGGAGGCCAGCTTGTCAGCAAAAAGAGAGAGCCAGGAGAAAGCGACCCACAGAGTGTCCCAGAGCTCAACGCCTCATCTGGTTTCAACCAACCGGCTTTGTTATTTGAGGACAGTTTGCTTAATTCACGCTTTGGTTATTGTTTTGGGTGGGTGGTGTTTTTGTTTGTTTTTTAGAATTATTTATCTCAGTTGACTACAGTTCAGAAGGCAATGCCAGAACACTCATTCAGTTAGTATCATTAAACTTGGCCAGATATCTGAGGGCACAATATTTTTCTAGAAAAATATGTTATTAATATCATATATCACAAGGCATTTGAAAAGCATACATCTCTGTTAAAAGTATGAATACAAAAACAAGTAGTTTGTTTGTCCCTAGATTAATTAAAATTTGAAAATTTTACGTCTATTGAGAGCATGACAAACTTGAAGGGAGTCATATTTTATTGACATATTAATTGCAACTGCATATTCTCAATCGTCTAAAATGTATCCCCATTTAAAATTTAATCAAGCACTTGGAATTTACTTGACTTTCTAATATAATATATTTATAGTAATATATTAAAATATTTCTTACATTATTAAAATATACTTAATAACAATGATATAGTAAAAATATTTTTTATATTTCTAATAAAATGTATTTATATGATAATATATTTCTAATATGGTTCTCAAACTGTTTAATTGATATTGGAGCTATTAATAAGGAGCTATAAAGTATCAATATATATTTATAGCTTGCATCTTTTAAAAAGACCACAGGCTTTTTTCAAATAATCACATCTTTTGAACATTTTGTGAATGTTCATGAGCTTTACTTAAGAGGTTTCAGATTCTGAAGACAAAGTTCTAGGACATCATTTGAAATAAATACATCAAGTAAATTTTAATTACACTTGTTACAAATATTAACATTTTATAAATTTCCATATAATTGCATCAATTCACCAATTTGAATGAAAGGACGAATTATTCTGAACCTTTCAAAGAAAATCTAATATATATCCTCATTTTTGAATCAAAAGTGTTGAAGAAATGTATCTTCAATTTTCTGCAATAATATGAGCAAACTGTACTCTCTTCTGCAGAAGCGGGCTCTGAAGACATAGAGATACTGCCTAATGGGCTGGCTTTCATCAGCTCCGTGAGTGTTTTCTTTCAATTATTGTGTTCTAGAACAATTTCTAGGACTGGTCACTTAAGTCTTTCACTTAGGCCTTCTATGTACCAATGTCCACTTTCAAGTAAAATGGAGTCATCTGGCTTTCCCAGATGACATCTCCCACCCCGATGTCATGGTCATATATGCATTTGCTACAGGTGATGAGAGGTTTTGTGTGGGGTGAGCTGGTGCAACATGTGGCTTCCAGAGTCTTCTGTGGACCTATTGCACCAGGCAGTTAAGAGGCTTCCTGTGTGGCCCTATGGCTCAGAGCAGAGAGTGTGAATCCATATGCCTCCCACCACCTCTTGTCAGTATTTGATGTTAGTAATGTGCCTGCTTTTTCTCCACCATGCTTTTAAGGGATTAAAATATCCTGGCATAAAGAGTTTTGAGCCTGATAAACCTGGGAAAATACTTTTGATGGACCTGAATGAAGAAGATCCAGCAGTGTTGGAGTTGAAAATTACAGGAAGTAAATCAGATTTGTCTTCATTTAACCCTCATGGGATTAGCACATTCACAGATGAAGGTAACAATGCTTACTGTTGACTGAAAATCAAAAGCAAAAAAAAAAACCCAAAAACAAAAACCCCATGCCAGCGAATGAATATTTCTTCTCATTCAACCAAAGCTTAATTATGAATAAAGTTCTTATATTTGGGCTTTTGAACCATTTCTCTATGTTAATTAAATATATGAAAGACACATGCTTGAAAATGCTAAAATATTTAAGATTTGCAAAGCTCCTAATTTTAAAAAAACACCAACATTTACATTATCTATAATTATTATAACATTCAGCCTTAATCATTATAGTTTTTTTTTTTAAACACTTTGAAAGGCCCAGGTTATTTACAGGAATAGATTTTTGTCTGACGTCAGTCATCTGTGACATGTAGATCCAGGGACAGAAGGTCACCAGGGCCAGCTTTCCCTCAGCCCTGCCACCCTCAGTGCCCTCTGCCCCTGCTGACTCTGTTCAGGCTGTTCCTCAGCACAGCATGTTCTCCCCTCCCTTGTGACTTTATCCCATTTTTCCTTCCTGTGTACTGTGCTGCCATATCCTTGACCTCTATAATAATCTTTAACCTCAGCTGCACCCAGAAACACCTGGGGAGTTAAAAAAAAAAGTCAAGGTGCCCTGGCCCTGGCCCAAGAACTTCTGAGTTCATTGGTCTGAGGGAGGTCTGGGAAGAAATACTTGTTAAAAGTTGTCCAGGTGATAAAAAATGTCCAGGTGATGACAACATCTGTACTCACTGCCTCCATTTCCTCATCAGATAGCCCCTCATTCAGCGCTGCTTCCTGATTGTCCCCACTGTGGGTGGCTAAAATGGCTGCCTTGAAATCCATCAGTGAGGTCCTTGTTAACAAACATCCTTTTCCTCCCTCCCTCCCTCCCTCCTTCCTTCCTCCACCTCACTTTTCACTGTTTACCGCTTTCTCCTTCAAGAGAATTGTCCCTCCCTGATTTGCCACTCACCTGTCTTGGCTCTGTCCCTACCAGGGTTTTCTTCTCTTGCTCCTGGTTTTGCCACTCGTTGCTGGTTCTTTGGGCAGTCGCCCCCAGAGGTTCAATTTCATTTTTTTCTTGCCTCTTTACTTTCTCTATTTCAAAAACTTTAGACCAGGGCCATTCTAGGAGAATATCTACAAATATGGGTTATTATTGCTATTTTCTTATCAGGTTTTCAATTCCATCACTGAAGGTAGTAATACATACTTGTTTGGGTTCCTTTCTTGAAGTCACTTGAAATTCAAAGTGTTGAAAAATAAATATGTATATTCATGGTCTTTCTATGGTCTCTCCACCCATTCACCACTATTAAATTTTTTTAAAAAACATTTTCAGGTGCAAAGAAATATAATGTTTGATATGGGTATGCTTTTTAGAATAAAATGGGGGTGATGTTACACAGATTCTCCTATAAATTGCTTTTGCACTAAACACTGCATCATGATTCCTTTTTGTGCCAGTGCATTTAGAGCTAGTTCACTATGGCCACTCAAGATCCAGCTGGGTGGAAGAACAGTAATATAGTCCATTTGCTATTTAGCTCATTTCCATGTTTATGCTCATTACAAACAGTGATGAAAGAAACTTTGTGGGGTTTTTGGTATTGGGAATTGAACTCAGGAATGCTCAACTCCTGAGTCATATCCATAGCCACCCCCCTTTTCTTTTCTTTTCTTTTTTTTTGTTTTTTTTTTTTTTGAGACAAGGTCTTGCTAATTGCCTGGCCTCACTAACTTGCTGAGGCTGACTTTGAGCTTGTGATCCTCCTGCCTCACCCTCCCAAGCTGCTGGAATTACAGGCATACGCCACAGCACCCAGCAAAAGAAATATTCTTATACATGGATCTTCTGTGACTCTTTCCTTGGGATGAATTTCTAGAAGTAAAATCTGCTGCAAGAAATAAGAATCCGGGTTTTCATCCTTCTTTGTATTTGCTTTCTGACCAACTCATTCACTAGCTCTCACCAGGGTCTCATGTGCTTTCCTTTCTTCTCTCTCAGTTTCAACCTCCTAGTCCAGCCCCTCTTCTCTACAATCCTGAATTACTGCTGTAGTCTTAGATCATGCTATTCCTTGACTCCAAGCCTCCAAGGAATAAGCCTTGAATCCTCACCTAATCTCTGACAAGGCTTATCCTGCCTTTCTACCTCTATGGCTTCAGCTTTGCTACTCTCTCTTTCTCTCTGTTCCAATCATAGCTTCTCTATTAAGTTAATGTGTCAAAGAAGCTCCTACCTCAGGGTCTTTGCACATACTCTTCCCTCAGCCTGGAACACACTTTCCCCAGACATCCTCGTGTTTTGCTCTTTTATGTCATTTAGGTCTTTGCTCTAACATCACTTCATCAGAAACAACATCCCTGACTCCTAAGAAGAACACGTCTCATAACCCCATCTCTTTATCCTGCTTCGTTTTTCCTTTGTAGCATTTCACATAAACATTTAGCATTGAATATAAACACTTATTGGCTGAATAGTTAATCAACATCATTTTAGCTGGCTTCTCTGTTCAGATCTCTACAGTTCAACCAATTTGATCATGTCAGAGGTTTCCAAAGACTTACTACTGCTTCATAAGGTAGAGATCAGAATCTCACATCACTTGCCGACTCTGATCACACCTCTTTGACCTTTTAGACCAGTGTCCTTCATGTCCCATAGTCCCACAGAGGCACAGAAGTTGCTTCCATTTCCTACCATCTCTGTGATGTTCTTCTTTCACGGTATAAACTATACCTGGGCTCACCTTCTCCTAGACAGTTTCCACATCCCCCATCCCTTCTATGTCAACTCTGTATTTTGCAGAGGCCATTTGGACTAGAAAGCTTATTACGCTCTTTGGAGTTTTAGTGTCAGTGATGCTCATTCTTAAATTGAGAGTTTTTCTCCCCCTCTAATAGAGTTTGGAGTTTTTAGAGACTGTCACTTGTTCCTCCTTTAGCCACTTTTCTTTGGAGCAATCACGAATGTTCTCTCTACCAAGAGATGAAAATATTCCATCTGCCTGACATCCTAAGTACTAGTTGGAGGTGGGTTGAAATTGCTTTTTGGAGACAGAGCTGACAGCTGAAAGCTCAGTTAATGTTTCAATTTTTGTTTTTAATCTTCTCTCAGATAATGCTGTGTACCTGCTGGTGGTGAACCATCCAGATTTCAAGTCCACGGTGGAGGTGTTTAAATTTCAAGAAGAAGAAAAATCACTTTTGCATCTGAAAACCATTAGGCACAAACTTCTGCCTAGGTGCTGAGATAGCTCATCTTTGTCTTCTCCTTTAGCAGCAGTGAATGGTTCATCCATGTTTACTTTTTCGTTGTGACCAGGGCATATTCAACTCTCCCTTCCCATAACCACAAAGAGTGTTTTTCTGCAGAATATTCTAACAACTCTTGCCCCTCAGAGAAGCCCATTCTCTTATTAATAGCTCGTTTCTCAGGCTGGTTGGATGCTGGCTCCTGGCTCCTGGTTTTAAGATCTCCATCTAAGCTTTTATAAAGAAAAAATTCTGCCCCTCTCCAAGCCCAGTCTCAGTATTCCAAACCCAAAGAGGCTTTATAGACGAATTCCACATCTTGAGCTTATTTATTTGTTTTTATTTTTTAAAAAATATGGTCTTAGTTTCTACAAATTCAAAATGCATATCTAAGAGAAGACCCCAAATCCAGTGCATCTAAATCCTGCCTTTGTTGGCTCAACTGCTGTTTGGTTGGGCCCAACTCCTGAAGTAGCAGATCTATGGGGACACTCAGCACTGTACTAGACTCCTCCACAATATAACACCAGGAGAAAGAGAAACACCCACGGATTCTCAATCCTGGTCAACCCAATCCAAAGTCAACTTCCTCACTTGCCTTATGAATATTTGTTTTTTGAGGCTAACATGGGTTTAGCACAACAATCTCACACTACCTTCCCAAACAATGATTACTTCCTAATTATTACAATTTTTTAGAATCCCAAAATTCCTGCATAATTGAAGTAGAGCACTCAACCTCCTCAGTATTTGTAAACCTAGAGTGGTACTCTTTGCAGGCACCTAGGAAAGGGATTGCCACATAGGAAACCAGTGCCTCTTCCTCTCCTTTCTTATCTGATGGTTTTGAGGATGAGAAAATTGAGACTTAAGAGAAATTGAGTTACTGCGTGAAGATTGACCAATTAGTTAGCAGCCAAGTAGAAAGGAAGGCCAGGGGCTTCTTCTGTAACCCTTAGATGAGTTCAAAGTTCAGAGAACAGATTTGGGGCGGAAGAGTTCATTCAGAGAAGATAATTTGGAAAGAAATGAGATCATTGGGTATTTGAAGAATGTAAAGTATGGCAAGATCTAACATAAGGAAAATAAGTAGGATGGCAAAGCTGAATGACAATAATAGCAATCACAACTTAATAAACTTCAGCTCTAAATCAGTTCCCGCGCTAACCAATTTAAACTGATTTTTTAGTGACTTTTTATGAAACTCTCTGTAATTGAGTGCTATTATCTATCATTCCCGTTGTGGATTTAAAAACTTTGAGGCCTAGAGGATTTGTTAAGATGCCTCCAAAGACACCATTAGTCAACAGTGGAGCTGAGATTATGGTCCTGACAGTGTGAGTTCTAAAGTACTTTCCTGAACGTCTATGAAATAGTGAAAAATTATTTGATTTGTTTCAACATTTAATCTTGGAAACCTCATGTTTGTCCATTTTTCCAGATTAGGAGTTTTTTCTTTCTTTTCTTTTTTTTTTTTTTCTGGTCAAGTTGCAAAGATATTGGTCTTCGGCAGCATAGAACCTGACTAAAAGTAACTCTAGTGCCACAATTAAATAGAATTTAGCCACATGTACTTTTGCTCTGTGGTTGATGGTTGTTTATGCTATTACTATTCCAATTACTTCAGCCTGCTATTATTAGTAATGTCACAACTATTATTATTGTTGGTCACTTACCATATGCCAGGCATGGTGACAAGGCCTTTATACTCATTTTATTTCACTCTTACCCTAGCCTTTCAAGGTACAGAGAGAAAACTGACATTCAGAGAAGTGGCTCAAAGTTTATTGACACACTCTGGTGCCCTGTTGTGACGATAGCAAGCAGGGTCAGGACTCAAGCAGAGTTTATCAGATTTCAAAGCTCTTGCTCTAAACCATTCCATTCTGCTGCTCTTTATGAAAAGCAGGCAAACGGTAGGAAAGCATACTAATTTCAGAAATTTTTTTTTTTTTTTTTTTTAAAAGAGAAAGTAGAACCAGCTTGCAGATTTATGTCTGGAGCCTGTACTAATCCTAAACCCCTAGACCCTTTTTCATGTAGTAATAGTGACTCCCACTGATTGAGGATTTATTGGGTGTTAGGCTCCTGGCAAAGCACACAACAGGCATTGTCTCATTGTAATTCCCACTGCAACTCCACAAATTAAGATTTTGACCCTTGGTCTTCTACTAATGAACTGTATGACTTTGGGAAAATCACTTAACCTCTCTTAACAGATGAGAAAACTGAGGCTCTGCATGCTTGTCTCATTGGCCCCAGAGCCCAGCGCTGCGTCAGAGCTGATACACTGGCCATTACGCACCCTGCAATAGAGCAAGGATAATTTTCTCTCAGATCATGGCCCCGGGGAACTTCCATCACCTCAATCAGCAAAGAATGACTCACTTATGTGTTTGCTATTGTACCTATTAAAGCAGAAAAATAGACTCATATATCTTACATTTTCAGAAACAGAGAGAGAATCCTAATAGGAAAGAAAATAGGCAAGCATCCTATTTCTGAACTTTCTTGTTCATGGACATCTTATTCCATTGAGAATCATAAAACTTTAAGGCTGGAAGATAAACCAGTGTATCATCCTCGTTTCACAGATAAGGAAACTGAGGCCCTGACACGTGAAGGATTGATTTTCCCAAGATTGCAAAGCTAAGGCAGCAAAGATTTAACTAAAATGTGTTGCCAGTTCAGTGTTTTTTTTTTTTTTGGGGGGGGGGGTATTGTTTGTTTGTTTTTCATTGCCTTAATCTAAGGACTGATTGGAGCCAGTTCCATCTTGCTCTGACAATTATGCTATGGACAAATTTAAATGATCACTGAATTTATACCCACACCATGCCTCCTCTTTTAAGATATAGCTCATAGGATTTTTATGTTACAGTGCTATAATGACCTTTTAAGAGTTCATAAAACAATTTATTATCTTTAAAAAAACAGTTTTTAGTTGTAGATGGACACATACTTTTGTTTTATTTATTTATTTTTATGTGGTGCTGAGGATTGAACCCAGAGCCTCACACATGCTAGGCAAGTGCTCTACCACTGAGCCACAACCCCAGCCCACAATTTCTTATCTTTGAGGATGGGAGAAGTAGGACTGCTTTCACATTGATTCTGTGCCATTATAGCTAGAGTGAAAGCTCATCCCATATCTTGATTTAGGAATAGACATGAATGAATGCCAGCTCCCAAGCCTGCACTGTACAGCACCTTCACCTGTATATATTATGTGTTTGAATTGCAGTTTGAATGATATCGTCGCTGTGGGACCTGAGCATTTTTATGCCACAAATGATCACTATTTTATTGACCCATACTTACGATCCTGGGAGATGTACTTGGGTTTAGCCTGGTCATATGTGGTTTACTACAGTCCCGATGAAGTTCGAGTGGTGGCAGAAGGATTTGACTTTGCTAATGGAATCAACATTTCACCTGATGGCAAGTATGTGCACTCTTTACATCGTAATGGATTTATCTGGGTTCTCAGTAGATGTCTTTAGCATGCTGTAGTCATTTTGAAGTGACTTGATACATATTGTCTTAGGAAGATGAAGTTAGGAAAAAAAAATAAAATATCTTAATCCTTTGAGAGTAAAATTTATCAGATCAAACATTTACATTTTGTGAAGATGTACTGTGTTTTATTTAAGGGGGAAAAAGTACATTTCAAGAGAGGAAACCATAATAAACATTTAATATTACCCAAACAGCTTTATTTTGAAGGAAGATTTTTTGGGGTGTGTGTGTACTAGGATCAAACTCAAGGGCACTCGACCACTGAGCCACATCCCCAGCCCTATTTTGTATTTTATTTAGAGACAGGGTCTCACTGAGTTGCTTAGCACCTTGCTTTTGCTGAGGCTGGCTTTGAACTCACAATTCTCCTGCCTCAGCCTTCCAAGCTGCTGGGATTACAAGTATGAGCCACTTTGCCCAGCCTGAAGGAATATTTTTGAGTATATAACAAAATTAACAATACATAGGAACACACACACACACACACACACACACACACATATATATATATATATGCTCTGTGACAAGATGAGGAACATCAAAATGTAAATTAAGCACTGCTTTCTTCAACAAGAGAGTCTTCAATGAAAGGAAAGAGTTTTCTTAACTCAGCAGCTTGCTTATCTCATGGCAACCTTGCAATGAAAATATTATAATATATAATAATATTATTTATAATATTACCTATAATATTATAATATTATCTCATGGCAACCTTGCAATGATGCACAGAGAAGCATAGGTCTAGGGGCCACACTGTGGTCATCCACAGTATGGATATATATACATGAAATTAGGAAAAAAGTAAAATATCTTAACACGTGTGTGTACACACACACACACACACATCCAATATATTTTATAAATATATAAGATACATCCAGCCATCTACACCCTTCCTCATCTTGTATCATCAAGGATTTCAGAGTGTTCTCTTAGAAGAAGAAGCACGGATGCTTTCAATTATTCATATTGTCCCCTGGCTTTAACAATGAAAGACAATCATGCCATCATATCTCTTCTTGTTTTTGGGGTGCACTGTGCTTCGCTAACCAGCAGTCTTTTGGGTATGTGGTGTTTCATTCTGAAAAACACTAAGCCCGCAGGGTTGGGACAGGCTCAGGACAAAGGGTGTGGAAGACTTTTCTCTCTCCAGGCCAAGCATCCTGACTTCTCTCATATTTTCTCTGGCCTAAAACAAGGGACTGCTGCTGAGGGGCTTTTCTGCAGCTTCCTGGAGGGACAACTCTCTGTCCTCTAAAATGCAGAACCTAGTTTCTCTGCGGTGTATTGGTAGGCATAGTACTAATGTAGAAAAATAGGGTTAGTTTAGGAATTGAACATTTTCATCCATATATAGGAATATAAATATGAATATATGTAAAAATATACATGAAAGTATTTAAATGGATATAACTTTGTGTATAGCTATTTTTCTTTTGAGATAGATGTTTCCAATTTGTTTTAGTTATAGTTTATGATTATGCAACTGAATATAAATGAAAATTTCTGAGCAGGAATTTGGTTGCTGTGGGGGTATACTCATAGACATATGAATTTATATAAACATATGTAGGAATATATATGTGAAAATATACATATGGTTATTCAAACTAAAAAAAAATAAAATAAAGTTTAAAAATACAGAACCTGGGACTCACCTCTACATTGAAAGTTATCTGTTGCTCCCAGAAATTAAGAGCTCGTGTTAGGGCTGATCAGGGATTAGTAGGTTTCCACTTTTAGGATTAACTTTTCAGAGATGAAACCCCTTTGTGTGCTGTGAACTCATTGAGCTCTTTCAGAATTTAGTGCTTTGAGATGTGTGCCGTTTTCCAGTCTCTAGGCAAAGTTCTTCCCCAGGAAGAGTTATTACAACTCCCTGTAACCTTCTGAATTACATTAACTCAAGCACTTTGATGCAGTTCTTGCTTCTTTGAAGGTATGTCTACATATCCGAGTTGCTGGCTCATAAGATTCATGTGTATGAAAAGCACGCTAATTGGACTTTAACTCTGTTGAAGGTAAGATGTATTAACACTATAAGTTTGCAAAGTGATAATTAGATTCTAATTGATTTGTGAAATTAAAAGTGAGGAAAAAAGAATTGTCTAATTGAAGTGGGTGAGAACCCATTTTTCACTTCGTTATTAAGAGCCGTCTGCATCATTTTGTGTCTGTTGTTCACTTTGACTCAATTGCAGAGCGGGAACAGCAGGCCGCACCTCACCTGGGAGACTTTGATTCTTTCTGTTCTAGTGAATTTAAGTTTGGATTGCGTTCACAGGTCCCTTCTCTCTCCCTTTTCCTCCTTTCTTTCTCTTTTTCTCTCCCCTTTTCTTTTATCCTCTCTGTTGATGGAAAAGCCAAGAAATAGCCTCAGGACAGGACGCTGTTCCTTCTGCTTGGGAACATATCTCCATGGCTGCCTCTGTCATTTCTGTCCAGTTTTTACTGAAATGTCATCTCAGCAAGACCCTTCCTCATCAGATAGTCTACCTGGGACCCAGCCCCACTTATTTCCTAACTCTTCTACTGCTTATCGTTGCTTTCAGCATTTATTACCAACATAGTGTACATTTGGCTTGTCTTCTTTATTATCTGCCCACCCCCTGCCCCGCACTCAAGAATGTAGGTTCCACCAGGACCGATTTTATTTTTCTTTCTATACAAAAATTTTCAACACTCAGTAGACATTCAACAAATACCTGTTCAATTAATATGATAGGGCTGGGTGAGGGGTTCACCCTCTGCCCCCATCAATTCTGGTCCAGATTGAAGGTTTGGGTCAAAAGGGGTAAAAAACACAAAGGAGAGGAAAGAAAAACTATGAGCAAGGTGGACCATTCTGACAGCAGCTCTAGCCCTGAAAAACCACCTGGCACTGCTGTCCTGCTGCCCACGCGGAGTGAAGCACTGTCACCGCCAGTCTTAGAACTGTGCCCATCAACACTTTCAAGCACTGTCATGACAGGCCTCACTCCGAGAAAATTACCTTGAAACGACTTCAAAGTAACATCGTGTTTGACATTAAAAATCACTGGCAGGACTAGTTCAGTATTAGCTGAAGTAAAATGGAACTTTGCACACTTATACTGGCTGAGGGAATAAAAACAGACTGTGGTTTAACAGTAGGTACTTCTGTAAGCTGAAAGTTAAAGATTTTGTAGCAGAACCCAATCCAAGACACATTCCACACAGAATGTTGGGTCCTGCTCCTGCCCAGGCCAGGTTGAAGGCAAGCCTTGTTTTCAGATTGGGATCCCACTTTGGGCAACAGACCATGCCTGTTTCACTTCAGAGCAACCAACCCAGCAGAGGCCAACCCCGCAAACATAATGCTGATCTTTCTCTTGAATGATCATATTCATTAACATCTCAGAATGCCACATAATTTGATAAAGTAGCTGAGGCCAATTATAAAGCTTATGATGGGGCATGTTTATGCTTATGTCCTTCCAACATGTGTTATACCCACACAATGGAAGATTATTTGGCTTCAAAAAGAAATGATTTGGTAATCCTGGCGGCTCAGGAGGCTGAGGCAGCAGGATCTCAAGTTCAAAGCCAGCCTCAACAAAAGCAAGGTGCTAATAAGCAATTCAGTGAGACCCTGTCTCTAAATAAAAAGTATAAAATAAGGCTGGGGATGTGGCTCAGTGGTCAAGTGCTCCTGAGTTCAATCCCTGGTACCTGCTTCACCACCAAAAAGAATGATTTTCTGACACATGCTACACTGTGAACTGAATGAACTGTGAAGACATTAAGTGAAATAAGCTAGACATTAAAGGAGTGATATTGTGATTCCAATGATCTGAAGTACCTAGAACAGGCAAATTCATAGAAACAGAAAGTGGAATGGTGGTTACCAGGGGCTCGGGGGAGGGGGGGAAGACAAATGGAGAGTTATTGTTTAATGGTTACAGAGTTTCTGTTTGGGATGCTTAAAGTTCTAAAGATGGATGGTGCTGATGGTTTCATGACATTGTAAACATACGTATGCCATGGAGTTGTACACATATAAGTCAAGATAGCAAATTTTATGATATATATATATAGATAGATAGATATAGATATAGATAGATAGATATAATGATATATATATAGATAGATATAATGATGTATATATATAACAATAAAAATAATTCTCCCTTTCCTCCCAAAAAATATTATAAGACTCAATGAATTAGTCTTACCTCAATGAACTTCAATTTTCTAAAAATCGAGATATTTATTAACAGAGAATATGGTTTTTCCCACAGAGAATAATTTGTTTTAAGGAGAGGAAAATCTTCTCCACTTGTCTTTATGAGACTCTGAGGTGTGATACACATGCCCACTCTGATGAGTTGGGATGGCTAGGTATTACATGTTTGCAAAGCAACAGCTTATTTACAGACCCAGGACGAGCTTCCCGCTGGACCAGCAGCTCTTCTTTGGTACTGCTGGGTACTCTCCAGGTGCTGAGCTCCTCACAGAGCATGTGGTAGGAGCTCAGTCCTTGTGTGGAATGGGTGGGACCCCAGGCTCCTGGGTCCTTTCTCGACTTTCACCTCCAACTCTCATTTCACCTGGCTTTCAAGCACCATGGAATTTGCCAATTGGCTGTACCCCATCCAAAGACAATAATGGATCGCTGAGACTCACGTTTTCCTTACTTAAACAATCTAATGTGTCAGGGCAGAGTGCTGACATTGGGACAGATGCAGGGAGGGTGGAAGAGGAAGTCTGGAGCTGATCTTGACCAGGGGGTGCTTGCCCAGCCATCTCCTCTGGCTAATCTTGCCTGTTTCCAGGCTAAGTAGGGAGTGCCGACCCTGCATGGCAGTGAGAATGAAGCTCTGCTGAGCCCTCTAATCCCTTTGAGGACATGTGGGGACAGCTCTCATTTTCAGTAGGAAGCAGAGGGCCTTGTTGGCTGCAGGTCTGCAGCTGCCTACCCACGCTCTGGCCTTTGCAGTGAGTCACGACCAGTTATTTACGGGGTCCCTGGGCACTAAGGTACGCAGTAGATATTGTTTCTCTGATGAGAGTTAGAGGTAAACAAATACATGGGGTTTCTTTCTGGTAGAAGGCAGCCAAGATGATGAATGGTGGAATTAAGAATCGTTGCTATTATTTATGATACTGGTACAAAGCCTCGACAGCAATCTGGGCAGTCATCACACGCTTGCAACTTATATTTAGAGAATAAACAGCAGAAGAACAGGAAGCTGAATAACATTAAGAAACTGAAGAACAAACTTTTCCTCAACTCCAAAGCAAAAATTAGACCCTGGGTGATCATTTCTTCGCTGGCGGCACAGCCTGTGATTAGCCATGAAAGACCCTACATTTCATCCATGTTCACATCAGAAATGGATCTACATTTTCTGGTTGTTTTATGAATTCTTACAAAAATATCATTTGCACATGCCATTTTAGAAGGAATTGCTTTATGCTGCACTTAAAACTTGAAAAAAAGTTTTAGATTTCGGCACAGATGTTAGTACAAATGATTTTATTTAACTTTTAACAGTCTTTTTTTTTTTTTTTTTTTTGCTTTCTGAATCTTTCCCCATCTGTCCTGGAAACCAACAAAATACTAGTATAGATAGAAGGCCAGAGGAATCAGAAGAATTCCTTGAGTGCTAGTAGAATGGTATAGAATTATTGTGTCCCCAGAAGCAGCCATGTAGTGACCAAGTATGAGAGGATACCTTTCCCTGGCATATTGCTGCACCACTTCTCAATTTTTCTCACTCCCTATCTTTTGTTCTTTCCTTGCTCTTAAACTTGGAAGTCCCTCGACTTTGACACACTTGTGGATAACATATCCGTGGATCCCGTGACGGGGGACCTTTGGGTTGGTTGCCATCCCAATGGCATGAAGATTTTCTTCTACGACCCAGAGAATCCTCCTGCCTCAGAGGTTAGTTTGAAAAGCGAAGTAGATCAATGACCTTATTTCCAGCTACTGTTTTGCAGCAAACATAGTTCTCAATTCTATGTGCAATAAAAAAGGGGACATGGATAGGTGATCCAACTGATTAGAAATAAAAAGGACTTTCAGACATGTTTTCCTCAGGGTCTAGATAGGAAACAGATGGTACATTTAAACTGGTTATTTTGAGGGGAGTTTAATAAAGGTGTTGTTTACAAAGAGGTGGGCATAGTGTAGAGACATTAACCAGGGATAACCTCAGGGCTAGCAAGTGGGAAGGAAATGACTAAAAATCAAGAACAAGAAGGGAGCAGTGGGGCTGGGCTTGTGGCTCAGTGGTAGAGCGCGTGCCTTGCACATGTGAGATCCTGGGTTCGATCCTCAGCACCACATTAAAATAAATAAATAACTAAAAATAAAGATATTGTGTCCATCTACAACTAAAAATTATTTTAAAAAAAGAAAGATGAAAGGAGCAGTGGACTGGTGATGTAGCTTGGTAGTAGAGGGCTTGATCTCTAGCACTGCCAAGAAAATAATAAAAATAAAAAGGAGTGGTGGTGTGGTGTGGTGTGTGGAGAGGGTCATTTGAGAGGAACGGCTTGTGGTTGAGGGATGTAGCCAACCAGCAGCAACACCACAGGGAGGTGGCTGAGCATAATTACCTCAGCTCCCTCTCAGTCTGACCACTGCTGCTGCTGCTTTGAGGCTAAGAGCACAGGAGTCTCCTTCAAAGTAGGCCTTGGTACAAGTCAGAGCAGAGTGGGGTGTGGCCTCTAGGGCTGGGTTGAGGAACCCCAGCATTGGATGAGTCCATATCTTTATTTCAGTAATGAGTTTCTCCAGCTTGGAAATTCTCAATCGTTTTAAAAACATAATCGTGCCACACTACAATGGTTTAACTCTTTGTTACCTGCCTTCCTCTTCAGCTCCCCCTTCCTGGGTGTCAGAACTGTCTCTCTCAATTCTGTGGCAGATTGGCTTCAGGACCCTGTGGTTACAAAATTCACAGAGGCTCAATCTCTTATATAAAACTGAAAAATATTTTCATGGAACCTATACACATCCTCCCATGTAGTTTAAATCACTCTAGATCACTTATAATAGCTAATACAATATAAATGCCATATAATAGTTATGCTATGTTATTTAGGAAAGAATGACAAGAAAAAAAGTTTATATGTGTTTAGTACAGACATATTATTTTTTTCCAATATTTTTCATATGAAGCTGATTGGATTTGTGCAGATATGGAATCCAGGGATATGGAAGGCTGTATACATACAAGTCAATGTAGTGGACCAGTCCTAAAAGCACAATTAGCCATCCTATCAGAATATTCCCTAAAGATGGGGACATAAATCATTTGCTAGAATTTGTTTTGGCTTAGAAGTCCTCTTCTTCCACTTTTGTTATAATACTGAAAGATTCCATTTTTTTTTTTTTTTTGGTCCATGATCTTTATTTAGCAGACTATTCTGCAGTGCAAATAATAAGAATCTGAAGCTCACTTTACCATAGGCATTTGGACTTTGACTATCACCTACCTGGTGTTTTCTATTTTGAGTTTTCAGTATATGCTAAGTGTCATTATTATTTATATTGAATACATGATATTGTTTTTTGACATTTATCTACCTCAGTGTTTTAAAAGCTTAGGTTTAAGTCTGTCTCCCAACCAAAAAAGGAAGGAAAAATGACTGTATCTCCTGGATTAAAAAACAAACAAACAAACAACAACAACAAAAAAAACCCACAAAAGTGGATTTCCAGGGCTGGAGTTGTGGCTTAGTGGTAGAGCGCTTGCCTGGCATGAGTGAGGCTCTGGGTTTGATCCTAGGCATCACATATAAATAAATAAATAGAACAAAAGATCATTGACAACCAAAAAAAAGTATTAAAAGTGGACTTCCGGGGCTTGGGATGTGGCTCAAGTGGTAGCACGCTCTCCTGGTGTGCATGAGGCACTGGGTTCGATCCTCAGCACCACATAAAAATAAAATAAAGATATTGTGTCCACGTAAAACTAAAAAATAAACATTAAAAAAAAGTGGATTTCCAATTTCCTATCTTTTCTTTCTAGGTTTACAGGAAATTCTGATCATGGTTAATGTCAATCCTTTGTGCCTTTTACTCATTTTTAGCTATTAGGATTGCTGAGTGGCGTGTTACATAGAATTGAAGGAATGTATGCTGGGGTGTGTTCACTGTTTAGAACTGAACAGAATGTTAGATTCTAATATGTTCTTGCTTGTTAGCTCATTTGGTGAACTCGGGGCATTTGCTATACCATGGATATGGTTTGTTTCCTGGAAAAAAGTGTTTCCTTTCTAATGATGGATCTGGTGAGGAATAGCAAAAGGTAATAACAATCCATTATCTAATGTTCTTCCCAACCGAAAAACAATTTAGTCTTATTAACAAGAAGCTGAGTTAAGCCAGGGTACACCACCATTTCCTTGAAGTTAACACTGTATTTTAAACACTATGGCAATTTCCTAAGACATCTGTCTTTGGTGCCAGCTATTCTAAAGAAGTCATTTTGAATGCCCCCATTGATCCTTTCATATTCACGCACTGGCCTACCTGGACAGCCATATTTGGTGTTCTGTGTGTAGACATCCTTTCTTCAAGTAATCGTACTTTATCTTAGTTGAAAGGGAATTTAGAAATAATCTAGTCTCACCCATCTCCTTCTATAGTTGAGAAGCAAATGGTAAGCAGAAGATCCAAGACATGACCCAGGTCTCCCCCTTCAATGTAATGCTTTCCATATTAGGTCAAATCATATAAAATGGCTATTTTTGTCAGCCAGCAAGAATGATCAAATGTTTGTATTTCATGTGAGTCTAATACAACGCCGCAGTGGTGCTGATGGTGCAAATTCTTAACTAAGTGAAGGAAGTTGAACTTATAAAATCTTATACATTTGGAGATTGGACCTTAAGTTCAGAAGAATGGTTCAGTGTGGTACAGAAAGGTGGTTTGGTGTGGGGAGGGTGTCATATTACCCTCTGCCCCTTGCCTATATTTAAAAGCCAGGAATTAAGGGTAAGCATCCAAATTCCTAGCTCATCTAAAACTATATAAACACATACCTGAATTCCAGCATGGTAACCATTCCACTGTTGCTGAGTAATGGTCTCCACTTTTCCCTAACACCTCACACTCAGGCTATGCTTCTCTTTCACATTTCTTGCCTAGTCCCTGTAGGTCTGTGTGCTCACTACCCTTGTTAAAGATCACATGATCAAAAACTGACAGTTTTCAAATGGGGAAACAGGTTATCATAAATATAGAGTAATTTTGGTACAAAATACCATATATGTAACTCTATGAGGTAATATGGTTTCTTATGGAGAAATGGCTCCGTGCTTTGAGTTGTTTTAAGTAATTTTTAAAAAATGTTAAGCTCACATTATTTCTTTGGTAGGTGCTTCGAATCCAGAACATCTTAACAGAAGAACCCAAAGTGAAACTGGTTTATGCAGAAAATGGCACAGTGTTGCAAGGCTGCTCAGTAGCCTCCGTGTACAAGGGGAAACTGCTGATCGGCACCGTGTATCACAAAGCACTTTACTGTGAACTCTAACAGGACGACTTGCCAGAGTCATAGAATGCGGAGGCCCATCATTTCCACCAATTGCCACAGTCTAAGGGGCTGCAGTGATCTCCATTGATGTCAGTTGCATATCATGAGGCTGAGAGCAAATCTGGAGAGTGAGGCTCTTTTGACAATACACAATCCAATTAGTCTTGGAATACTTGGAAATCTCATTTACCAGTGGAAAATTATTATTAAATAATAATTTAATAATAATTAAATTATTAAAATGGCTAAATTTATTATAACAATTATCAGGTCTTAAATAATCTTACTGTATGTTACTCATTAGGAACTTTCCCTAAAATGGATTCCATGAAAGTGTCTTGCTGCTTCGCTAATTCATGTTCAGAGAACCAGAGAGCAGGATGAGCTGTGTCACAACTCCAGTTCTCAGGGACTGCAGGTCACATGCCAGAACATGCACGTGCTCTGCAAGGCAACCCCCACCCCCACCACACACACCTCCTCAGTGAAGCCACTGGGGAACCTGCACCATCAGAGTTGCCCTGTTTTCCCCTCTTTGATTCCATGCTCATGTGACTTTCTCAGGAAACAGTGGCCAATTTTAGTAGCGTTCTCCTTTTATTCTTCAATTCTCCTGTGGCAATGGTGCGTAGGAAAATCTTAAAATTTGGGGGAGTGGTATCACACCTTAAAATTATGAGTGTCTTTTATCTTGGCACCAATAGTATCTTTTAGATTTCATTGCCCTGGAGAAGGAGGGAATTTGCTCACTGCAAAGACTGGGTACAGAATGTAGTAATTAATTCAGGTAATGTTAAGTGTCCCAAAGTCAATACTGCTATTCAGTGGTGGAAGAGGTTTTTTTTTTTTAATTTTTATTTTTTATTGTTGTTGTTATTATTTTTCCCTATTGTAACTTGCTATGGAAATTGAGAAAGAAAAAAAAAAGGAAAAGGTAAACAAACAAAAATCAGGAAAGATCAACCACCACTTTTTGTCATCGTTCAAGGACATGGCTAGGAATAAAACGTGACTATCATTTTGTTGTGAACGCTGACATAAAAAGGTTAACACACCTCATTTGTTTGTCTGTTTTGAAGATAGGACTTTCAGGCCAGATTCTTTCTCTGGACATTAAGGCAGTCACTTAAAGTATTTTTAAGGCACTTGTCCTATTGTTGGTGTTGTGATTTTGGTCCAGCATTTTGGGAAAAATGTTTTGCCAATAAGTTGAGAACTGCCAACAGTTTGAGACCACTGATCCTCTGATTTAATAAAAAAATATTTTTGTTTTGATCAAAAAAACTTTAATCAGGATTCACATTATTTTGGCCACCATTTCAGGGAGCATAACACCAAGTGCCTTATGAGTGCTCAATTACTCAGTGATACCGTCTATTCACAACCCAGGAAGTACTGCTTGTCAACAAATGATGCTTAGGAAATAAATAAATAAAAACCTCACATATTTCCTTCAAAAAGAATGTCTTACCTAGCCTCCATGCATCTTCAATAAAATAACCATATTCTGTTCTTTTTAATTATTGATGGAATAAGAAGATTCTGCCAAAAAAAAAAAAAAAAAACAAAAAAACAAAAAAAACCCAAACCTAACATCACATAGCATAGATTCAAGTTCAGAAAGGGACATCCCTTGGTTAGGGGTTTAACACACACTCATAGAAAGAGGAAAACTGCCTAATTCTCATTTGTTCTGTGATGCCCACATCTAAATATTTGTATTGTCAAAGGTTTAGTTCTAGATAGGTTATATGTATGAGAAAGAATGACTTAAATATTCTTCATTTGTTACAGCCCAGTCTCCTGAATCTTGAAGGTCTTGAAGTAAACTTTAAAATCACCCTGTACTGTAGGACAGGCTCATTCCTGCTTAGTGTGCTCCTTGCTATGTGCGGCTGACTGGTTAATGGATTGTCTCAGACCTTTCTATGGCTGAGACGTATCAGAAACCTTGATGGTGAAGCCGTGACAGGGGAACAGGAAGATGGGCGAGGGAGCTTTGACTGGAGGCTTCACTCTTTTAACTTTATGCCCAGTTCCATAATTGGGCTTTCAAATGTAATTCTAGCTGCCAATTTACACTTTACCAGAGTTAAATCTTATTTTTAGTTTCATTTCCATGAAAAATGTGCACTTTGCTCTTGATTGATATATGTGTTTTGACAGTTAATACAGGTTTACCCAGTCAAGGCTTGTTTTAGTCGAAGGTGAAAATGGAAGAAGAAGAAAAAAAATTATGCGACCGATCTCAGTATTTCTCTTTTTATTGCATTCGTTGTTTAACAACAATAATACTCATTGGCAAGAAATTTATTTACACTAACAAATTAAATTTAACACAGGTATTTTTAGATTGGTCAGAAAACAAAGGACCACTGTTACATTTTGCTTTGAATGCCTCTGAAAACCAAAGAGTAAGGAATGTCATTTGAAACAGTACATATTAACCAAGCACAAGAGAACAATTCAGACATGGCACAATTGTCTCTTCCATGCAAATAAATGAATAGACATCAAAATGTACAAATTAAAAGTTTCAGGTAACATGCTACCCACACTTGCTGGACTCAAAATTATTTTCAAACAACTTTTTCTTATTGATATATAAATAAAGATGAAAATGAATCAAATTCTTACAGGAGAACAGACTTTATTATCTTTCATTTTTCAGCTGCCCAGTTTTGTAATATGTAGCAGGTGTATTAGTGGTTTGACTGCAACACCATTAAAAATACAAGAGCGGTAGTTGTGACATCAAATAATAATGAAGGATGCATCTACATATGTATGTAAGGAATTTCACCAAGCACTAACTCAGTTTGATGTTGTTGGGAGGTGTCATCTAGCTGGAGTGCGTCTTCCCACTTTTAATTATCTCTGGCCAATTGTTCTTTCATGAACAGTCGACTGATCACATCCTTAATAGAAAACCTGGATGTATGAATAAAAGAGCTGAAAGAAACAGACATGTACATCTTCCAACAATATATATTCACAACCACCTGTATTATTTTTGGTGACAATCAAAATGCCATTATCAGCACGAGATGACCAAAATGCCATTACTTGGCACAAGAAGTCAATAAATGGTCATGTGAGGGCAACACTGCCATCAGAGAGCCAGTAGTTAGTGACTAAAGCTACAGATTATGTCATTTTGGAAGTGTGAGCCAATGCACAAGAACACACAGTGCAACTTTTAGCCAAGAAAACTGTAGTCTGCCGTTGAAAATGCCCAAAGCTACATAAATGTCTTCTGAGCTCTACTACAAAAAAAAAAAAAAGAAAAAGAAAAAGAAAAAGAAAAAAGTGCAGTCTCCACACCAAAGCATTAACCAAACATTTGAGAAGATTTTAGCTTACTAAAATACTAAATATTTAATAAATCAATTTTATCAAAATATATAAATACAGAGAAAGGTAAGTGCATTTAGTAGGAATACCTACATTAAAATAAAAACCCTCTTAAATCTATAAGCCATTCAATGTATAGACAAGCAAAAAGTGGCAATAAGGCTCTGATTATAGCTCCTAACTGGCATTACCAAGTTCCACATACAGTATTTTTTACGCCTTGTAATTGCTGCATATATATAGGTATGGTGGAAGATAGATTCACACAGATGTAGTTCTGAATACCTATGCAGTGGCATGCATGTTGTGGAGTAGTCTATTGTTCTCTGTTCCTTACCTCATAAACACTGCTGAATCCCTAGTGCTTTGGGGTTGGGTAGGGCCAAGGATTGGAAAGCATCCTGTTTTGTTCCTCCCTAACTCTGAGGATCTGGAGACAGGTTACAGTGGTGCTTGGTTCATGCTGCTCACATATGTGAACCCTCAAGTTAAAATCATTCTCTCAATAAACCCACAGTTTATTGTCAGACCCTCTGTCTACTATAAATAGATCTTGTTTTCACTTCTTGGGGAAAATTTATTCTTTAGGCTTTTTCTTTTCTCTCCAGCTTCTCAGGCCTATTCTACGCTGCTTCTTCAAGTTATGAAAATGTGTTGTTTGGTGTTAATTTTTCCCCAGTGTTTTGGATCAAGACTAAATTTCCTGAGACTTTAAATACTCAAGACAAATGCAAACAAAATCCGCTAGCAGACCCAGGCTGGTTTTCAGGAGTGAATCACTGAGCACATTCAAATTTCCCCTAACACTACTTTCTTTGGAGAATGTACCCTCCCCTGTCCTACCATCATGAGAAGAGTTCTGGTAGAAGACATGGACATTTTACTGATGGACTTTATCCTTAATGGCTTAGCTTTATAACTGCGCACAGGGTTAAAGAGGCAAATTAAAAAAGATGGAAAGCTGAGCTTTTCATTTCCATCTTCCTTTTTTCTTCAGAGAACAATGAACCCTTTGCATTAAAGCAGGTGCCACAAAGCTCTGTGACCACTGTCCACCAAAATGAAGTGCCCCTCTACTCCAGCTGTGTTGGGAGTACCTTTAATGACAAGTGGCATTTGAAAATTCTTAAATATCTCAATGTAATGAGAGGGCTGTGACACATTCAAAGTGCAGATGTTTCTCTTATAATTGTTGGGACTCCTTCCTCCAGAATTTTCTTGAACATTATTGTTAAACACTGAATATCCTCTTGAAGCTTAGTCTAATCTTCCACACTTATAAATGAATTAGCACATCTACAAAAATGTGCATTTAATTTACCTTTTTTGTTATTGTTGTTGTTTACAATGTAAACTTTAAGCACATGTTAATCCTATTACACAAAGAACTTCAGTGAGAATTCTTTGTCCTCAGGGAAAGCCATGGGGTGAGTTGCCAGGTCAAATGACCTGTGGAGGTCTCCTAGGTTGGACCTGAGGTATTTGGGGATTTCAGGTTAAATGACTATAGGGGCACAGGCAGCGGGAAGGGCTATTTGGTTCTCACTTTTCCTCCTGCTACCTTGTTCCCAACAACAAATGCGCACAAGGTGGATGTTCCCACTCTGTGCCCACTGAAAGCTGAGTTTGGCATTGGCACCTATCATACTGCAATTATTGACTGCTGTGGTTAAGAGGCTGTGTGATGTTGGCAGGTGGGGACAGGTTTCTGGCCTAACTGAATACAGAAGGACACTTCTGATTCATTGTGTGTGTGTGTGGGGGGGGGGGGCGCTGAAGGGGTGAAGAACAAGAGAAGTATTCCATAACTGTGAGTTACTTTAAGGGAAATGGTCTTAAGCACAGTAATCTGTTATAAAGTTCTTTAGTGGAAATCCTGATCCAGCTCCCATAGTGTTACCTACAGCTTAGCCTCACTATTTATACCCCCTCCCTCCAAAACATCACCCATACCCCAAAACACTTTTGGCTATAGTTAGAGTCATACTGAGCTGTCCCTTACTAAAATATAGTACACGGTAACCAGATAATCCCTTTTTGTTCATTTTCTGATAAGGAAAAAAAAAAAACTGAAAAGTCTTTAAGGTTCATGAAATAACAATTTTGCATTAAAGCGTATGAACACTGAAAAGTACTAGCATTAAAGGAGGATTGTGCAAGACACCAGAACCTCAATTAGTCACCATGCACTATAGTCAAAAAAATAATAGTAAAACAAAATGCTCACAAGATCTGAGGTCCTTCACTTTGTTTTCATACCCTTGTATCAATCAGTTTATATTTCATTGTTGGGCAATCAAATCAAGTCCCTTTTACAATTTTAGCAGTTTTAAGTAGTAACATTAAAATAATGCATTTAGACCTAAATTACTACAATTAAACTTAAAAAATCAAAACGGTTATAATATACACTAAATGATTTGAGGAATAAGAATTTGATTTTTAACATTATCAGTATGACTTTGATCTAAACACTGAAGTATGCAAATAAAGTTATAATAAAGAACAGTACTTCTAAGACATTTAAGAAAATACAATATAATAGATCATAAATTATGGGCAAAGACAGAGACTTATAGACATTTCAATATATACATTCATTTTCAAATATTACTGAAGTGTAAACATAACTTAAAATAGTCATACCACTCTTGAATACAGTGAAACCTCCAGTGTGATCCAGGTTACTTTTTCTTCAAAAATGGCAAAAATTTACAATAGCAAGCACAAGCATTACCAGATTTTTACTAATTTAATCTTCTGAAGTATGAGGAAAGATTTGCTGAATTTTGTAGTTCATTAATAGTTGCTCCTGGTTTCTTGTGATGTTAATAATAGGAAGCACCAGACATTTCTAGATATTAATAAGTATTGAGTATGGCAGTTTCATTTCATATCCCAAATGAAGATAGACAGAAAAACCTAACAGTGCCTCTCCTAACTGTAAAAGCTACTATATATCAGTGTTTCTGAGGAGTGAATGTATGATCTGTACCTAGTGACAAAATCACTGAAGCTTAGCAGACCAGACCATACTATGGCAGAAAAGGAATCAGACCTTGAGAAAAGAATAAGACAATACATTTCTAGTTCAGACAATTCCAGAACTTGGATATTAAAAATAATAAAAATTAAATTTCACAATGTTAACAATATTAGGTGGGGCTATACGGCAGGAGTCCCCTTACACTGACTGTTACTGTAATACTCTAGAGCCATCTCCCGTGCTCTGCGTGTACAACACTTCAGCATGGACAATGCTGAGGACAGAGCAAGACCCAGTGTCACAAAAGAGGTAAAATACTTATCTAAAATTTATCTGGCCTCAAGTCGTACTTTGAAACTTGTCCATTGGAAAGTGGATGACCTCATTTTTGGAGCCAAAGCAGCAAAGAGAACAAGATACATAAGCATAAAAAGCAAAAAAAAAAAAAAAAAAAAAAAAACCCTCATCATTGGAAATTTCTCGATTAGTTTATCTTCTCCTCTTTCTGCCCTAGTCTCCCACACTCAACTAAGTTTGGTGAAATACTGAAGTCCTTAATACTGGCTTTAAAATAAGCATAAGTTCTTCCACTACCAAAATGTATCCTATGTACTGCCTTAAACAAACTTCAACTGTGAAGTGGAAATCTCTGGAGTATGGTAGAGAATGGCTCAGAAAAACCATTCAAAATATCTCTAAAATGTAACTAACTGACAGCTCTGTTTTATAGGAACGTTCTGTGTGCTCAAAAAAATTGGTTCTCTGGTTGAATGTTACTCAAATCTAAATTTTCTCTAACTGGTATTTCTATTTTCCTTAAAAGTGAGTTTGTTAAAACACTAACTGAGCCCACTTGGGAAATTCTGAGTAGAAAATATGTGACAAGTTCCTGACTGTGTCATAGGCAGGCTGAAGACCAGCCAGAATGTTCCCCAGGAGAGGAAACCTGAAAATGTTGGTTTCCTTAAAAATCAATTTCCTGTTCAATTTGTTGTGTGTGGGGGACAAAGGAACTGTGTTGTGTTTGCCAGTGTTGCTGAAATACTGAACATACAGTGGTAGCAAAGTAAACAACATATCCCAACATCCCAAGGCTACATTAAAGTTTGACTTTTTCTTCTTTGTTCAGCAACATCTGGAGGATAAATGTTACCTTCAAACCTCAAGGTATACCCACATCCACATTATTAAGGCTTTTACTCTCTTCTACAGTTAACGGATAACTATGATTCTCTTCACTTTTTCTGATGCCCAGCAAGCAGGACTGTGTGCTTGCTCTTTCCCTTAGGACAAAATTATGTGGCACAACACCCATGCTTCCACAATGGTGCTGTTCTCTGCCCAGACCCAGGACCAAGGGGGAGCTCTTCCCACACACCAGACTGGACTCTGCAGCCCTAGAAGCAAATATGAGTCCCAGATCTCATTGGCAGGGTGCTCTCTGCCACACAAATACGTGCAAGGGCCTAGTTTCAGGATCCTAAACTGAAAATTCCAAGTGCTCCATGAACACCAGGGGGGTGTCCTGTTCTCGTGGCAGGTCATGCTGGTTTTCCACGTGACACAACACACCCAACACAACACAGGATGTTGGTAAGTAGGACAGGAGAGCAACACAACTACTTTGTGTCTCTCCCAAATGAGATCTCTGGTTTGTTAACAAACCAAAGATGGTTTGGGGTTCCTTCAGGGGTTAAAATTAGGAGTGCATTCTATTATTGCAGAAAATGCAGTCATTCAACACACGGTTCCTCAGTCTGTCTACAGCAGCATTACCCCATCACCAGTTTCTTTTTCTGGAGGAGAACAGGGCAGGAAGAGGTGAGCCTTCTCTTGTGCATTCTCACCCTCTGGAGGGTGTGCTACTGTTCACCAGGGCCGTCTGTTGCGGTTGATGTCATTTTTTCCGACTTTTTGGACTTCCTCTGCATCTGCTCTTGTTCCTTCCTCCTCAGCTTTTCTCTTTGTTTTTCCATTTTCTCTTGGGCCTTCCGAGCCTTCTCTAGAGACATCTTCATTTCCTTCAGTTTTTTTTTAACCACAGCTCGATCCTGTGATGATGCCATTCCAAGAGCCTGCAAAGGAAACACGTGCACAAACTGAATGGGAAAACTGATGGCTGCTCTGCTTATTATGAGGTTAACACCACAATATGTTCAAACTCATAATTGAAACATGGATAGAAGAGGTCAGAGTTGATATTATTTATTCAAAGTTTGTGTACATTGGGGGTTTGTGCTTTTTTTTGTTGTTCTTTTATTTTATGAAGTCCCTTGCAAAATACACCCTAAAGCTCATTAAGAAAATGCTTTCCAACTGGTTTTTAATGAGTGAATAAATGAAAAAAGATACAATCCTTCTTCTCCAACCTTTGCGCTATAAACATTTATAGGCAAAAGTATTGCTAAACTCATCAATATTTTCAAAGGGTAAGCATGGGCACCGGCTGTCACAGAGGGCTCCAAGAAGGACAGAGAAAACTGAAATGGTTTCCTTTCTGCCAGTGTAGTCATTTACAAGGAAAACCAAAAATGTCTTTGGGGCCAGAATGCTCATATCAGCATAACCAGCCATTCTCTCCCCGTGGGTAGACCTGCAAGGGAAGCCTGATTGTAATGAGGTTGCTCGGTAAGCCTAGAGTTCAGAATAAGGGGAGTTGGTTACATACTTTAAATGTTTCATGACCTTCAGCATCAACAGCAGGATGTTTCCATTTCCCCAACAGGGACAGCCTTGTCAAGGGGGCCTTCATATTCACAAGCTATTGATTGATCTCTAACCTTTTCAAGATTGTCAAGAGATACTCATCTACTGGTCAGCCTAGCAGGGGGCTGGGGCAGTGAGCAGAGGGTGTATGGAGCTGGTTGTATGCTCTTTTTGCCCTTTTTCCACAGAGGTGGGTGCCACCTCAGTCTCTGAGATGGGCCAGACTCCTAGTGGAAAAGAGTGTGATCCAGGTGGAGGGAAGACACCGTCTGCATATATTTAAGGAAGAAAGTTCTGGGGAGAACATCATCCCAGTTTTAGAGTGCCATGTAGGGAAGAGGGAGTGTGGAGGAGAAATGAACAAGGGGAGGAAGATTCATGGATCAGGGTCTTAACTTCAATATGATGAAAGTCCACAGTGGCCATTATTAAAACTCATACTACATGGGAAGTAAGCAGAGTTAATAAATGGGCCATGTGTTGCCATGTGAAGCAATGGAGTGAGTCCCTAGCACTCATGAGCAGCCTACAACTCATTTCAGAACCGATGATGGACTTTCTGAAACTTTGTTTCCAACTCAGAAATAATTCATCATCCTTTCTACTGACTGTTGAGGGAAGTTGTCTCTCCAATATGCAGAAGGCTCTGGGCTAAAGAAAACATTTTAGGTACTACAAGTACTACAAATCATACCTGGTAACCTAACACAGACAAATAATTCTTTACCTTAAGTTTATTTCCATCCAACTGCAGGAGCTGCTCTCCAGTGATGTTTTGGGCACTGAATTCAGAGACATACTGCTCCAGATTTAGGCTCATTAACCAGTGAGAAACCTGCTGCACACTCCATTCATGAACGGCCCGACTCTGATACTGACTGTGTTTGGGAGACTGTCCATCATCAAGGATCTGAGATAGGAATGTTGCATTGTTGTTAAAGGACCAAAATGCTATGGTTCCTATTATGCTATCAAAAGGAATTTCTTAACCTGCTAGAGCCACACTTACTTTTAAACCACAAAATGATAATGTTTCTAATACTGTTAAAAAGAAATATGCTTATTACTTATGTGGTTTTAGGTCTATGGAAATTTAAAAAAATTCCCCCAAATAAAGCACATTATTAATGTAGGAAGTTTAATATTGAAAAAAAATAATGTTGCAAGCTTTTATATCAAAACACTCTGGAAATAGCAGATGTAGAAAACAAATATTTCATAAATCTCTACATGCAATGCATCACTCTGCGTTTATCCTCTGCTAAGACATTAAAGTTTTATAAAAACACATTTAAAATATTGAGGTATCTTTCACTTGGAAGAGGAGAGCATTAACCCCTCAAACTTTCTTATAGGAAACTTTCCAATTATTATTTCACTGAGCAGCAAGCAGATTTGAGAGGAACATGGGGCAGGTAATATCCACAATTACTTTCGATACACAAGGAAACTGAGGCTCAGAAAGTCTTTATTATTTGTTCCAGATAACACAGTAAGTAGCAGAGCACAACAGTAACTGGTTTGTTAAAAAAAATACAGGCTCTGTCCACTGTATAATATTGCTTTTCATAGTGCAAAGGGGCAGATTGCTTCCTACAACTGCTAAGCTGAGAGGAGATGAAGGCAATGAAAGGCTTCAGAGGAAAGACAGGAGTCACCTTGGTGACGCACATGAGGAACACAGAGGAGGGGATGGGGTAAGCTGAGATGAAGGCAGAGGAGATGTTAAAGAATGAAAGGAGTCAAGGTAATGGGGATGGGAGATACATAGAGGGACTTGGAGGTGGGAGTTAGAACCTCTTGATTCAGGAACATCTTTTGGCTAAGATATAGACAAAGGCAGGGAGCAAAGCTACTTAAGACAAGAAACCCTCTACTATGGAGGAAGTGTTCTTGTATTTTTTGATTTAAATAATTCGTAAGGATAAAAAAGCAGGTTCAAACACTACCACATAAGGCACCACACAACCCACTGACAGCTCACCTCGTCATCTATCATATCCAGGCTCTGAGTGAGGGGCAACAAAGGAATCAAGAAGAAAAGGGTTATAGAAACAGGTCGTAAAACATCAACAGTACACAGTTTTAATAAACTTAAAATCATGCCAGGCTTGAAGAATACAGGCAGAAAAGTTTACAGGGAACAGAAGTTTTACCAAACAAAAATCATGTTAGAAAGAAGTAAGCATGGGGCTGGGGTTATGGCTCAGCGGTAGAGCGCTCCCCTAGCACATGCGAGGCCCTGAGTTCGATCCTCAGCACCACATAAAAATAAATAAATAAGAAAGAAGTAAGCATGAATATTTAAGTAAGAGCAAAAATATCTTTACTTACGTTGTGTCTGTCTGCTCACCTCCACCCCTTTTGGGGAACCAAACCAATCCTTAATGTAATTTCCTGCCTCTCTTATAAACATTTATCTCCTAATAATTCTTAGCAATGCTCACCATGACCCTTGCTTCTAAGTAAGTGGTTCTCACCCTCTTTTCCTTCCTTGTCAGAACTATAGCAATGATTCCATCAGGATCCACACCACAAGGAACAGGAGAATCTTGGTGTGACCGTGGCAGAGGTAAGGGAAAAAGGGAATGGACAATTTGCGAACCCCCATATGAGCTGAGCTGTTTTTGCTCTCCAGGTCCCAGCCTCCCCACTGTGAGTGATCCTGAAAACAACACAGTACTCTCTGGATGAGAGAAAGGGAGCGAAATCACGAAGACTTTACATAAATACAAAGCCATGATCCTGCTGGTTTCTATGCAATAATTTATCCTAAAAACCATTTTCCCAGTATATTTTATGAGACAACTGTCTGATCATAGTGCCACTATAGTACCTCATCTGATGACAGTGCTAAGGACTGAGACAGCCCTGGTGTTTTGGGTTCTGCTCCTAAGCCACTCAGGTCTGCGGAACTGGTACTGCTGGGACTGAAGTCATCGTTGAAGGTAAAATTCTGGAAAAACAAAGGAAGCTCAGTGTTAAAGGGGCACAACAAGTGAACCAGAGGCAGGTGTGTTTCCAAGTTCTCAGAGGTTCTTTATAAGCCATCTCAGAAGAAACTCATACTGGGTTTGGTAATGACCTTCAACCGGCCAGTGGTTGAGAATGCTGTGTCTTTTGTGCCTAATTGAGAATTCTGGTGCTTTCTCCATCTGATGAAAGGAGAGGTGTTTTAGAGAGATGATTCTTCAATCTCTCTCCAAGGGTACAGAATTCATTATCCTCTGCTACTGCTCAGAGGAGTAATATTAATAAGCCTATCTTCTTTGACCCTAATCGTGATGAGTAACAGTGTAAGTAAAAATACAAGATGGTGTGGAGAGGCTGAGTTATTAGGAACAGATGGTGATTCCTATCAGGAAGGTAGCTGGAGCACCCCTGGGAAGGAGCGCATGCGGCTGTCCGTGATAAATACTGTGAGAAGTGGCAGATTCTCTCCTGGAGGTACCCTTCAAGATGATGAGTTCTGGGGGAGGACACAGTCTGACAACACTCTGCATGTTCCATGCTGGAATGAAACTCTCATGGCACCAGCAGACAACCAAAGAGGCTGGGCACAGAACAGACACATGGGGCTGGAAATCAGCTGGGGCTGGGGAGGTAGAATATGTAAACAAGACTTCCCTGGAACATCATTAACATGTTCAGAGAATATTATAATGAAACTTAACAATGGCTACCTAGCTGCATTCATGGAAACATTTTAAACCAAATCTGGAGACTTCCTCAGTGCATGATGATGGTAGAATTACTCAAACAACGTTTAAATGCCTCAGATCCGATAGTAAAAGGCCCAGATGCTCTACTGCTGTCAAAACTTTTTGCTAATGCAAATAGAATGGCTCGATTCCCAGGAACTCTGTGCAACTTGGCCAACAATCATCTAGTTTCATGTTCTACTTCATTAGAACTTGGACTGTTAGTTTTCCATTAGGTTCCCTTGTATTGAGTTAAGTTGATTATCCAGAATAAACACTACATCAGAGGCTAGGATACTTAGTGCCAAACTAATTCCAAGATTTGCTAAAACTTCAGAAAAGAAGTCTAACTAAATCAGAGCACATGGAGCTCGGTCAGTAGAACATTTAAGCAGCAGGGTGTTTTAACACAGAACGTCACCATCTGGTATTGTCAATGGAGACACAAACTCAGGCCCCAGTCAAAACCCTTTGAGCTGTTAACCTCAAGGAAAGAATTAAATTCAAGTAACATTAATTACACGTATCTGTTTGAGAAAGAAAGGTGAACATAGAAAAAAGGAGACCAAACGACGTGTGAAAGTTAGCCACCATATATATATGTGTTTCAATAAAATGTTAGATAAGGTTTGCAGTGTCATGCTGGAAATAACCATCATGCATTTAAAAACAAATCACACCCATGCATATAATTCCTAAATCTGTGAAAGTTAAAGAACTCTGGTGACAAAATTACAACAGCTGTTCAGCATGGAAATTTGATATGAAAAGGAGGAGGAAGTACGGTGCCAAGTCAGCACTGGTTTGTTTTAAGGAGTTTCACTCAGATGTATCAAACACATATTCAGTCCCGAATTTATCGGTTTTCCAGTAAATCTTAAAGAGCATAGCAAAATAGTTTTATAATGTAATTTAGATTACTCAGTAAACAGATCTATAATACTGTTTCATGATTTGAATGTATCTTTTCCCAGCATGGCTTAACTGTCAAACTCAGATTAAATAGCAGTACGTGAAAAGACAGGCAAACCAAAGAGAAATGTACACTCTAGAATGGAACAGTGTTAAAGCAGGTGATGGTTAAGTGAGGCTTTCTCTTCCTCACACAAGAAACACCACACGTTGCTTGTGGCGGTGTTACCACACGGTTGCGCGGATCCAGAGCACACACAGGTTGAGGACGCCTTCCAGAGACTGAACAGGAGGAGGGGTTTGGGTTTTTCTTGTTTGCTTTTTCAATCCATGTGTTTTCTACCTTAGACCCCGTTTTATCTGAAATTAGAGTCTCAGGAGAAGGCTGAAGGGGACTTGTAGGTGAAGGCAGGTTCCTGAAGGAATAGGATCCTTTCCGGCTTTCATTAAACCAGGAGAAAGGCATGCAAGGGGAGCGGGTGGAGGCCTGAGCTGCGGAGGGCGGCTTGGCTTTCCAGTTTTCCAGCCTGCCTCTGAAGATCCTGTTTTGTGAAAAGAATGGATGTTAGACAAAGAAAGGCAAAAGGCTTCCTGAAGCAAATTTTGAAAGGTCTCTCAATATAGCTTCAGTAGTAATAGCCTGAGAAACTGTTCTACTCAGCAGAGTAAAATTTTGGGCTGTAACACTAACCTCAATAGTTACATTTTTTTTTTTTTTAATCTAAGTGAAGTCTATGACAATAATCAAAGCTCTAGCACTGCTATTGCCATGGAGAATTTTTTGAAATGAATCTCTAAGTGCATGCAGATGAACTAAGACCAGGGAGGCGGTCCTGCAGGCACTGCTCTTGGGCCGGAGCAGCTCCTTTACCTGGTAGGTACATCAGTGCCTCACAGCAGCTCCCAAATAGCACCCTTCTAGCCTTGCTCAGGACTTGTGTTCTCAAGTATCTAACATTTTAGAAAATGATTCATTTAAATAATTTGAACACTTCAGGGCTTGTGATACTTTGAGAAAAACATGTAGCCTACTGGCTTTTCATCATCTTGGTGTTTCTTCAAAGGAGCAGGACAAGACTTGATGTCCTGGTAACCCCCTTGGAGGTCCAAGGCCTTGCACCTCCTGAGTATGTGGCATTGGGCCTTCTTTCGGTTTCCATTTGCTCATCTATGAAAGGTGTATTTTTATGTCTCTCATATGTGGTTGTTAAGAATTAAATAGCATATGTGAAAGTGCTTTGAAAACTATCAAAATATTAAATTCTCTGTTTATTTTTTAACATTTAAAGGATTTAAAGGCATTCAAGGAACACAGTATGAAAACAGTTCCCTTAATGCAGTTACTTTCATATTTATATTTATCTTTTGGTTAAGAGAAAAATAATTATTAGGAACCAAAGTAGGAATAGATGACAGAGTTTACATGCGTCATGGAAGAGAGTCTGCCTCAATATGTCCAAATGTTATTTCATGGAATGTCTATTATCTGATAGCTGTTAATATCACAACAGATTCCCTTCAATTAAAAGAAGCTGAACACCATAGCTAGATAACTTTCTGTCCCAGATGTATTCTGAATTTTAGTCTTTTCACATCTCATTTCAAACAAACTTTGAAATATATTTCAAATTGACATAAATAGCTTAACTCCTAAAAATTCCAGCTATTTACAAATACTGTGAGAATCAAATGGGACAATAACTGAAACACCATTTTATAAACTGGAATGCAGTATACAAATATAAAGTGATTAGAAGAATGACAACTAAAGATAATGGAGAAGTCAATGTGGTTTTGGGAAAACAGAGATCAGCAGTTGGGTGAGCAAAATTGTTGGTCATATTAAAGATTTCAAAAGATCTGATGTTTTTAATAGAGTATTTAAAAAATGGGAGTAGGAAGTCTTCAAGGATAATAGATAAATATCAACTAGAGATGTGTCAAACATCAAATTCATCTTCAAGTCTAAATTTTAAAAAAAGTATCCTTAAATCTAAATACTTATGTCATAAGACACAGGAGTGAACTCAAGAAAGCATGCTAGCAGAGGCAGACTGGTCTGTAAGAAGCATTTTTTAATCCCTTGGCCATGGACAAGTCTGATAAGAACCATCTGGTGCAGCTGTTTCCATTCAGATCTTGGGCACCCAGACAATGAATTAGCATTAGAGGAGGACAGCAGAGGAGTCAACCTGGAATCTGTATTTTAACCAGTCTGATCTGATTCAAAGTTTTTAATACTTTATTAATACTATCCAGAATGCAAATATAATTATTTGGGAAGGAGAAAAGCATTTTACTTTTTCTGATAGAAAATGGTTGTACTGGTTCCCCATGCCTGAATTTCCCCCTTCCATGTGACACCAGGAAAATTAGATGCCATCCCAACTTTGGTCTTCACTGCAGTTGGGGAACTTTTAAATCTAGGTTACAGAAGAAAGGGACAGCTGTCTCCCCAACTCCTCTGAGAGAGGGGAGAGGGAAATCGTATCATCTTAATATCCTTGAATTCAATTTGGGAAGGACCTTGGATTCTTAGTTTTTGGAATGTAAATATTTGCTTCTAGGTTGAAGATAAGACAAGTGACTCCAATTTTACAGCCCTGGCAGTGCCTGCATGGAGCTCCATCATCTCATTCCTCCTGCTCCCTCATCTCCTTAAGATGTGACCACATACCTCTAGAGAGGTAAATCTCTCTGCAGTTCTATCTATCCGGTCATAATTTAACATCTAAGATTGTCTTTTAGCGTAGATCCCACATTCCATTGAAAATACTCTGTAAACATATCTAAAAATATGACTCTTGCAGTCTCACTCTTGTAATTGGGCATATCTGAGGAAAACTGGACCTTAAGATCATAATCACCTCTGGCTATCAGTTTCTGAATCAAGGGAATTTTAAAAAGAATTTCATCCATAATTCCAATAAATTTTGGTAGTGCTTAAATAAATGGCTATTGTTTTAAAGTTTATAAAGAGGCCATAATTAACAGCAGCATGACAATCTCATCCTACTTCCAAGTGAACGTCTTTGTAACAATGCATTTAGGCCACCACCACTTCCTTTTTTAAAAAAAAAATTAGGCAAGAAATAAGAATATTGTTTCCTGAAGTGTTATTCTTTTGCTTTATTTGAAAATGACTTTTGATAGTACAGATCCTGGCAGGACAACATTAGGAGGGAAAAAAAAAAATCTGAAGGCTACATCTAAGTAAACACTTTCATAAATTTATCTCTAACAGGAAAATATTTAAGATTAATAATCCCATGTGGACTTGTATATCCAGCAATTAAGACAGGTCCTGAGGCCATGTTGTTCTCATAATCTGTGGTGAGCAAGGTCATGGAACCCCAGCCTCTGCTGATACCCAGAAGCTTTCTTATGCCACTTCATACACCAAGGTAATAGAAGACAAGCAAGTAGAAATTGTTGAAAGACCACTTCCAAGGAGTCAACCACTATCTCTATAACTGCATACCATCATATTTGGGATACTCTGAAGAGTGTTTTACATGAGGCCTGGCTGTGTCCCTGTGAGGCTGTCTCCTAACTCCCTCATTTTTTAATCTGTGACTTTAAAACTCCATGACTAATGGAGCATTGTGTGCTTCCTGGCACCCCAGATGAACTGAACAGAGGCATGCTTCCATTTGGTTGGACCTACAGAAATGGAATTCTCATTTAAAAAAAAGAAACATAGCTGGGTTTGGTGGCACATGCTGTAATTTCAGCAATGCAGAAGGCTGAGGCAGGAGAACTGTAAGTTCCAGGTCAGCCTGAGCAATTTAGCAGGACCCTCAGCAACTTAGTGAGCTCCTATCTTAAAATAAAAAATAAATAGGACTGGGAATGTAGCTCAGTGGTAAAGTGCCCTTGGTTCAATCCCCAGTACCAAAAAACAAAATAAAAATCCACTATATTACTTTAAAACTAGAAACCTATCAGTCTACCAACATATACTTTTGAGAATGAATACCAGTTTCTTCCTGGATAAATTGAACTACTGGGCCTATAAAGGAGCAGAAAAGATTTGGTAGCAGATTTTATTTTGACCACTCCATCTGTTTCACCTTGTTGAGAAAATCTTCCTAATTATTACTAATACAAAATCCGTCTTTCCTTCCTTTTTTGCTTCTACCCTTCCTTCCATTTTTAACACTTTCTTTTCCTTTTTTTCTTTCCTCCACTCCCCCTAAAAATAAATCAAGATTGGTAGAAATGAATTCCTGATGAATTTAAAAATAATTTCGATAGGATCAAAACAAAAATGTGTTCTGTACTTCCCTATGCTTTTCTTTAAGTTGTACATTAATGGCTTATGATCATTTTTGGAAACAGATCCACAAGTCACTGCTATAGCACTGTTAATTTTATTGTTAGGAACCAGAAGAAAGAATGGCTTCATATTCAGTCTTCCCAATCCAAAGGTGTCACATGGGGTGTAGCACTCACTGGCATTTAAATGGTTTATAGCTAAAAAACATATAGAGTAATTAACTCATCTATACAATTTTGAAAACAATTTATCCTGGGGATTCCCCAAATTAAATTGCTCAGTTAAGAATCCCACAGTAGGGCTGGGGTTGTGGCTCAATGGTAGAGTGTTTGCCTTGCATGTGTGAGGCCCCGAGTTTGATCCTCAGCACCCCATTAAAAAATAGATAAATAAAAATAAAGATATTGGGTTCATCTATAACTTAAAAAAAATTCCACAGTGATTATTTTGTTGTTGTAGTTTCAAATTTGAATACAAGGTATGTGAACTATTCAGAATCTAACTGGTGATCATCAAAATATCATTTAGAGCTGGGCATGGTGGCACAAACCTGTAATCCCAGTGACTTGGGAGCCTGAGGCAAAAAGATCACAAGTTCAAAGCCAGCCTCAGCAATCTAGTGAGGCCCTAAGTAACTTAATGAGACCTTGTCTCAAAATAAAATAAAAGGGGCGCTAAGGTTGTAACTCAGTGGTAGAGTGCTTGCCTAGCCTGTGTGAAGCACTGGGTTCAATCCTCAGCACTATATAAAAACCAATCAATTAATCAATCAATGTATTGTGTCAAACAACATCAAAACCCATATTGCATCATTAAAAAAAATAATAAAGGTGCTGGGGATGTGGCTCAAGGGTAAAGCACTTCTGGGTTAAATCCTTTGTACCCCCCACCCCCAATATATCATTAGAGTTTACAAAACAAAAGAAGTATTAAAGGAACACAGAATTCAAGCAGATTGTAAAGGAAAATAATTAAAGAAAGATGATTGCAACCAGAGAAAGAGCTACAGATTTCATTTTTCTAAATCAGATGAAGTGCTTCTGTAAGTTTCCAACATCCACTCAGGAGACAGGTTGTAAAGCCAGTTCTTAGGGGTAATAATAGCTCAGGGCCAATTGTCCTGGACATATATTTCTCCCAGACCTGAGTTCTTGTCTAAATCTGTGAAGAACCAGCAGTCTGTCTCTGATGGGACACTGTATAGAGTGTTCAACTCATTTGAGATGATGAAAATATTCCCTAATCACCACCCATCCCCAACCA